AACAGGAACAATTTTCAGTGGCTAATTTTGTGTAAATTTTTAATTTTTAATTTAAAAAACAGTGAACCAATTATACATGTACACTACTGAAGCGCCCATGTAAATTGGCCTACGGGTATACATTTTATGTATGTGTACCTACATATAACTTAAAAAAAAACCAAAAAATGTTAACCATGTTTACCCCCCAAAAAATATTTGAAGCTTCTGCCTAAGATAACTGCTGTAAGTACTATGAATATGAAACCTATTAACGAGTAGCATATTTTTATAATTGGCCCTGAACTTGCTTGGGACGAAAAGGTGCATTTCGAAAATTTCATTGAAAAATTGACTAACAGAGTGTACCCATTAGAGATAATTATACCCGTAAGTTGTGGTATGTACATTAATTATTCAATGCATACACTGATAATTATTTACATTATTTGATGCATTCTTCAATGACTGTTTATTCACAAGAATAACTGATACAAGTTTGCATTCCTGACCTTTTCGAAGAGAAAAGGCCCTGAACCTGGTTGGGAAAAAAATGTGCATTTCAAGAATTTTGTTGAAAAAATGACAACTAAAATGAAGATAAAGATAGAAAAATTTACATGTTGATTGACAATTGGAAATAATTATACCTGTAGGCCCCTATGTCCTGCTGTGTACATTAATTGATCAATGCAAACACTGATAATTATTTACAATATTTGATGCATTCATCAATGACTGTTGATTCACAAGAATAACTGGTATTTGAAGCATAACTTTTTGAAGGGAATATTTTTTCCCTAGATCCATTTTACAAATCAAACAATTTATTGCAGGTATGTGACATTAAAACCTTTGTTACCTCCTCAAAGGGTCACCTCAATGACATGTGGATGAACTGCTTCTCAAGTGATCTATTAAAATTGATATCCTTGGCCAACAAAGTCAAGGGCATACATGTACCTTAACCATCCCTAGGCTGTTTTGATTGATTTTGATGGCTTCAGGACTGCAGCTCTCTAAACTTTAAAGGAAATGTCAAAAAACAAAACTACCAAATTATTACGAATTACCTTACTTGACTGTTACTTGGTGAATAATGATCTCAAGCATCCTGTAAAGTAATGGCACCTGGTGTGCTGTCATTTTCAAGAAAAGAGGAATTTTGTATCAATTTCCAACGATGGTCGGCAAACCATCATTGGAATGGAATAGGCCTTGAAGTAGTACTTGTATACCGCTTGTGCCTGGTTGGTGCTCTTCCAGGTAAACCATAGAATTGGGCCCAGATTTAGTGGCTAGTACCGGTATCTATCTGATAAGCTGCAAACAGAGGACGCACCCTCAACATCCTTTCAATGTGGAAACCGATGACACAGGAAATCCCCCTTTTCCATCCGTGTGCAACACACATGACAACCCATTTCACCTATTGATCATAAGTGCAGGCAGTTCAGACAGCTCGAGCCCACTGCATTATACAATGTATTACACAATAAAAGGAATGTTCAACGACACTGTACAAATGTAGCAGCAAGTTTCTACCGGTATTTACAAAGAACTGACGTACCAGTAGCCGTACTGCAACTTACCCAATCGGTTTTTAATAATAATTTTTAACAGCATTTATAAGGCAAACCTTTTCTAGATATACAAGCCATTTAAAAACCTCACTTTATGGGAGAAAGGCTCCAGCAAATACCGGTAGACGTGTTTTGAGTTTCTGTATGAAGCATCTCTGAGATCCCTATAGGGACATTTCCAGAGTCAGGGAGCAACATTTAAGAAAGCTCTGTCGCCATAGTTGGCAAGGCCAATTGACAACTTATATACAGTATGTACACATACAACACGACATTACACTACTGAGAAAAAAATTATCAGTTGACAATCATACAAATCTACTTGGGTTGGGCACCAAGAGGAAAGGAATGTGATAACCATTTGAATGCCAAAAATGCAGAAATCCTACATCATACCGGTACATACATGTACATGTACACTCAGGTACATATGAGAGAAAAATATCACACTTTCCTTCTTGACCATCACACCTAACCACACAAATTGCAACTGCCCAGTGACATGTGTACAATAGCACCCACTAATTAATTTTAACTTAAAGGTATTACGTTTTAATTTGGTTGTAAAGGATCCGGTACCAGCATGTATTTTCACCAAGATATGGACAACGACTTGTTCAGTTTGATTAGGTTATGATGATGACATTTATTACAGAATTAGAGATTGTGGTTTCATTGTACTGTAGGCCCTACATTGTACACCATGTTCAATGGGATGTGGTAAACTATAAAGTTACATTGTAATGTACATGCACCAACACAAATTGTGAATGATACTATGAAATTGCGAAATCTTAACATTTCACAAATTTGTGAATGTTTCCTTCCTATGGGAGTAATGCAAGAACAGGATTTGGAAGTGAAAATTTAACAAAATCCAACCGGAATCTTTGAAGCATTCCAATCTGTTTAGAATGTAATCTTATATTCAAACCTAATTTTTGGCACATGATGTGATGTGTATAAATATGATAGACCACATAGACCTATAAGCCATAACAGCTGCAATGTCAAGCTTGCACACAGTCAAACGTTACAACTAAGCCACTGACATCCACAATCGAACTGAATTCAAAAACGCCCAGGGCGTGCAGGACAAACACACAGTACATGTACACCCACCCAAACATGAACAGTATCAGCAACCCCCTCCCCATCCTCGAAATCACCATCAGGTGTTGAAAAATGTCCACATGTATGACTTCTTCTCATCAGTCAATCTGGGCTGAGCACTCCAGCGATACAATCCCAGACCAGAGAATGGTATTAGTGCAACAGAAGAATGCATTTGTTGGGGGGGGGGGGGAAAGCTCTGCCTTCTGGCACAATGGGGACCTGGTGTTTGGAGTGCAGCTTGGAGTGTTAGCAGAGCTCCTTGAGTAGTTTGCACTCTAGAGGATTACCGGGTTCCTTCCTTCATCAACAGTGTAATGGGTATCGCACTCAATCAGCATCAAGATTTAGCAAATTTAAAAGGAGGAACATTCATTTCCATAAAACTGTGATGAAGATACAGTACATGTAGCAGCAGAATACAAAAACCAAAACACCAAGGCTTCAAAAGTGGAGGCATGCAGCCACACTGGAAATTTTGTTTTGAACAGGCGATGACATTTTTTTTTTCTTTGACAAGGTCATCCCAACAATGTCCATGAAATGTTTACAAAATAATGAACAAATCTGAACCAAGAACTGATTGGCAATAAACTGATGAGACACCACACATCACAAACTAAAATATTTGGAATTCCACTGAACAAAAGGGATATTTGATACTGTACGTGTCCCGTTGATACATGTATGGGGAGATAAAACATATACGGACAGAAGAAAAAACACAATTTGAACATTGAGAAGAAGCGACCACCAGAAAGTTAAAATAAGATTCACGTTAACTATGACTTAGGGCAAGTTTCCTTTTATGCCAGTTGACCAACTTTCTTATACTTCCAACTTATGGATTATTCCACTAGTTGTAATTGATGTGGCCGCAAAAACCACAAGGCCACAGTGATTCCATTGATTGATTGTTCTGACCAGGTTGTAAGTAATAATAGCCAATTGTGAAGTAACAAAGATCTACATTCCATTCCCTTGAATGGATTGACATACTGGGTACTACACATTATGTACTGTACATGCCAGCATGCATTACAATGTATACATGTATGTGGACAGCAGTTCAATACAGTGTAGTCATATGTACAGTGGCTGCACTTTTAGACAGCACATGGAGTCATTCTACATTCAATTATATTATACAAATATTGAACGCTTCGAGTGTTGTAGTAAAACTAGCCTCCCGAGGTTATCTATTGAGCATTCTATTTTCCCTCGGCAAAGCCGAGGGAAAATACGGTAGAATGCTCCATGGATTACCGAGGGAGGCTAGTTTTACTTCATCACGAGATAAATTCAATATTTGTTTAATAACACTTCACCCACAGATTCTTTGGAGACAAATCTTTTTCAATAGCAGGCCCCAAATTATGGAACACTATTCCCATCAACATCAGGGACGCCCCATCTCTCACCATTTTCAAGAAACGTCTTAAAAGTTTCTTATTCATAACATCCTAGTCCTCTCTTGTACAGCGCTTTGTTCTATTTTGTAAAAGCGCTTTATAAATACTTTATTATTATTATTATTATTATTATTCTGCTTGGTTTCAGTATTTTAAATTATGTAAATCTGAACACAGTTGAAATAAACTTCAATTTCAATACAAAATTGGTGGAAAATGTATTCTCTCTTCCAAACTACCCCTTCACGAAATGTTTGAACCCAACTCTGCAGCGCGCTCTCTTTGGAACAAAACGCGCTACGCGCAACGCGCACACCAGCATGCATTTGCACACAAATACCACGCCGTGGATATAGTACTTTGGTTGCTAATGGTAAAGTACTTTGGTTGCTACGGGTATAGTACTTTTGGCCGTGCACAGAAAGATAGCAAAAATAGAAGGTATCATGTGACTCGCTCTCGGCTAATCAAGACACAGAATCTGTGGGTGAGGTGTTATGTAATTCAAACCATATAGAGGAACGAGCATAGGCCTATATATATGGAGGTGTACAGAATAGGAAATGTGTGCAGCACAACACAAAATTACAATTTGAAATTTGTTTGAAATTTTCTCGCTATTCGTGTGATCGGATATGACTCAAATTGTGTGGTTCTTCCCAATGATTTGCACATTTTAAAGGCATGGTATACATGTTTGGAATGCTAAATTTGGGAAATTTAACAAAAATAGACGTGGGAGGAGCCTGGGCCGGGATATGGTTTTATTCATCCCAACCACTCAATAAGTCAGGCCTGGCAAACGCAAAGCACTCCAGCAAATGTTCAACATTCTACAATTTACAAACACAAATATTGACATATTAAGATGTTCTCGTTCCACCCTTCAAAATTCTGTAACCATAGAACTCACCGAAATTCTGCTGCATCTGAACACATCCAACTGTGCTGGCATCTGCAGCTTCTTCACCTCCTTGGGAAACGCCACCACAGTGGTGATGTCCACCACCTCATCCGCCTCGTCAAACAACTCAGAGTTCAGGGGTCGGCCAGGGGCGGGACGGATCTTAGCCGCCGCCCAACAGACAGGCAGAGCAAAGAGTGGGTGTAGGGTCAGGTAGCCGACATTGAAGACTTCCTGCAGCTCGACGACGAAGGATTCCTCGTCGGCTATGTTCTTCTTAGTGAGGATCAGGCCCGACTGCTCAATGGTGCGTTCAAGCTCCTCCGCTGTAGGTGGGCTTTGAGCATCAGTCGTCATTTCAGATTCCGGTTGCGGGGAAGTTGTTAGCGTAATATACATTCAAAATTACTATGGGGCTGATGATTGCCTTGGCTTTCTTTCTCCTAGAAATGCATTGACGGATTCCTTTTACTGATCACAGCACCACCAGTTTGTGAAATCTGAAATGGTCAATTTGAGATTGAACCTAAAATCAGAATATGGCAATTAAATTAGTGTTTGCTGTTTGCCTACAACCTGCAAGGAACATTTCTATTCTGTTCAAATATTTGACAATGACATCTAAAATGCCCATCCCATTAATTATTTTTATAACTAAACTTATTATTACCCTAAATGTTCGGGTCACAATAATCACAGCTTTTTAAATTCAAGAAAGAATGTAATGTCCACGTCTTGGGTGGGCAAGCTGGGGGGGGGGAACAATTGATATTTGATAGGCACATGCGGTGAACAACTTTACAACATTCATTCCTTCCTTTCTCACACAGTTACAAAAATGCAATTAGGCCCACCATAAGTCATGTAAGCATGTCCTAGTCCTAAGTTCTAGAATTAATTAGCAAACACCATAGTAGTCCTACACGGTTTTTATTGCAAGCTTTCAGTCAGTTGCACAATATGCAATGGGCGAGTGCACACACTCGAGCTGCTCGGTGTACTATCAGTATCACGCAATGCCAATCATGCAATTGGTAGCACTGCCACTGCACTGCAATTCAACCACGACATCAGAACAAGTGGGACGTGGGTACACTACGAATCCCATTCATGATGACTGCACAGTTTTGTTTTTAAGAACTTACCACCCACAAAAACAGCACCCAAATCTCACGGCTGAAAGGTCTTTGTGCTTCTGGAAATTTGATAAAATACCCAGACAGATGGGATGACTACCTGTACTCCGATCTAGATCTGCACTAAGCAACTGTGCGAAAACGAACTGTTTTCATTTTTCACGGCAAAGATTTTGGACACAACGATTCGATCGACACTAGAGGGCGGCCATCTGCGCCGCCGCGCCACGTCCACCGATTTCCTTTTTTGGACTGTCCAATAGGAATGACCGAAAGTTTTCTCGAATTCGATTGGCCAAAAAGTGACGAATCAATCCACGAAACGCTAATCATTGGTCGATTGTCTAATTTATTTACTTTGGTTTTGTATTGTATTATGTAGTAAGCAATAAAGATCATGAAGCTAACAAAAAGGAAGAATAGGAGAGATGTGGAAATTCCGGATTGTTTTTCCCTAAATATTATTTAGCAAAACTTGTAAGATGTTATAATTTTTCTTGGGCATTTTGGCTAATGAAGATAGGCAGAGATAATTGAGACCATTATGAATACAAATTTTTTTATTATTAAATCATACACATAAAATATCATACAGTGGATATACATAGTTAACTATATGAATCAATTAGATGGATATAATTTGTAAATTGATACATCTATTATATACATAGAGCTATAAAATGGATATAAACTAAGTTACTCTGATGTAAAACAAATATTGGCTACATTTTATAAAAATAAACTACATGTACATATATTAGGACATTTGTTTACACACAAACAAATGATTTAGCTAACTATTTCAACTACTTTAAGAGTCGCGTACTATTTAGGCCAAATGCTCCCACATGAGAAACCCAGTCAAAAACACAAAAGGCAGTATTTATGCTGAATTGAATCAAACATTCTGATTTTGAGGCTTTTTCGTAAATTTCAATATTGTTTTTATAAAAAGCTAAAATTCCTTTCATTTTCAATGCCATTACAATTTCTAAACAGTTGCCCTACACTGTAGTCTAATGTAGCAATTTCAGTATTCCAAAGGCATGATTTGCATGAACATGTGTTCAAGATTTGAAAATTTGGCGGAAAATTCACAGAGGGTACATTACCAACAAAATTAGTGAAATGTTATTTTTCTAAAGTAAAACAAATATCTGGAAATTTGATAGCACCATGTTTTCCTGTACTGTTTTATGCTCCAACTTCTATGTGAACTGTAAATCTTGATTGCATGGAAAATTGCAACACACAGAGTTTGTTATCAATTCACTCATAGACTTGCGTACATTTTATGTACATTTTGTTTTTTACATAACCGCAAGATGGCTTCCAAGGAGGCTTGTGAGAGCACAAGGGAAGCATCTGAAGAATTTAAAGCCAGAGTCCATCATTTGCAGCTATCCAAAAAGTAACTGGCATAATTATTGTTGCAAAACATACTTGGTTGAAAGGTAGTAAGGGAACTAAACTCCCTGTAAAATTATTCTTTCTGGCAAGCTGTCATTTTGAAGAAATCAACGAAAGAAAGCCTTTTCAACGGTGCGTCTTAAGAAGCACCGTTGGAAATTTCCGTTAGTAGTTCGTTTTTTATTCGGTGAAGCGCGCACAAGCGTTGACACGACACACACGCGCGAGCAGTTGCAATAATTCGTCGGATCGGTGTGCGACATCGCGTAGCTGCAATTGGCTCAGTGAGAACGTGTCTCGGATGCTCAATTCAGGCCCAATTCAAAACATGATTCAGGAACTTTTGATTTGAATTCGAGATCCTAGAATGTTGTTTTTCTCAAAATATACAGATGAAGCTGAGCTGAAACTTCATCAGGTTAGCTGTTCAGCAGATTTTGAGCACTTTTGTTGCTTCAAACGAACAAAATGCACAAATTACAAATGATGGACTATATACCATTTAACTACAGTGTGGGCCCAAAAACGTTAATTACTCTGTATTACAGTATACAAGCAGTTAGGCCTACTGACATTCAAAACTGTACAAGGTTGTTGGTTATAAAAAGTATTAAGGTACTCTCCCATATAAAAAGGTCAGTTGTTCTTAAATATTTACAGCCAATATCTGGTCAGGCAGGGTTCTTGATCAGGGGAGTGAATTTTGGAAGTTAGGGTCCATAACTTCGCTGGGTTTGAATTTTTGTTTGTTGCAAAATGAAAACTGCTAGGTGGGCAATGACTTTTTACATATTTGTTATTCACTGGATAAATATCAAATCTCACAGTTTAATGTAACCATGATTGTCCTTTTATATACTTAATCTCCTGGAAATTGATTCCAGTTCGAAAAATGCTGCAGTTTGATCACGGTTCAGTCAGGGTGACATTGTACGTCACCATATACCCCTTGTCCCAGGCATATATCAGTCGCTTTCTTGGATTGTATGACATCATGGTCATCTTCATGTGACCATTCTGGTAGGAGATGTCCACGTCGGGCAACACCTCTCCCGTGAAGAGATTGACGGCAAAGTCCACCGTGGAGTGGAAGTTCTTGGAGCTCTTGGTGGTGTACAGCCGGCCGCAGATGATGAAGGCATCTCCCGCGGAACTCTGCGGGTGATTGGACACGACTGTCTTGATGACGGAGAGGTTCTCCGGGTCCAGTTGGGACACAACCAGGTTCTGGTGGTTCTCGGCCGTCTTGTATATCACCCACAGTCCGTTATCATCAACGGCGAGGTCCAGATATGTGTAGTCCGAGTCGTACAGGTACCGGTGTCCGTTGGACCTCTGGTAGAGAGCTTCGGGGATAGTTGCCTGGGCTGTGACGGTCTCTAAGGTCAGGTCGTATTGGACAATCTTGCCCGAGCCGCCGTTGTGGAAGTAGAGGGCGTTGTTGTAGACCACGTGGCCTGTGCCAGCCCAGGCGCCAGTCAGGCGGTGGTACTGGGTGTACGAGTCCGACATCAGGGCTGCCATATTTTTGTATTCTGCGTGATACAGAAAATACACATGAGAATACTGAAAAAACATGCGAGAATATTTATTCCAATGAGAAGACTCCCTGCTTCTTCTATCTCTTCTATTGTAATCCTCATCTTCAAGTGGTTATTTAACCTGAATAAGATGGATAATATGTCCTTATGGTCTTTTTTGTTAATTTACTCCATGGTTTTTGCATGTGGTTAAGAGAGTATCCCTGGATGATTTTGGAGCGTGCTCTCTCTCTCTCTCTCTCTCAGATATTTTACTTTGCAGTTGGCACCGTGTAATAATAATAACAGGTTCTTATGTAGCGCTTTTAACAAAGATCAAAGCGCTTTACATCATTATTACCCTTAATCACTGGGCCAATTAAACATTCCATATACCATCTCAGCTCCCTGGGGAGTATACAGCTCGATGCAGCCTGTTAGGCGCAAGGAAGCTCATTCAATCACAATAACCATCTCTGCCCTCACAGGTACCCATTTACTCCTGGGTGGAGAGAAGCAATTAATGAGTGACAAAGTGCCTTGCCCAAGGGCACACGCACCATGACCCCGGGCTGGACTCGAACCCACAACCTGCAGCTTTACCCACAGACCACAAATCCAGTGCCCTTATCCACGAGGCCACAGCACTAAACGCAGATTGATTGGGCTAAAGTTTGTTCCAGATGTGGCATTACCCAGTACCCTCCTGCAAGGGCGGATCCAGGGGGGGGGCCAAAACGAAACGAAACCAATTTTTTTTTTTTTTTATGTGACATCGCAATAAAGGCAGGCAATGAGTACACCACCATCTTTTCCTCAAAAAAAATTGGTTAAAGTGGTCAGAAATTGCCTCAGATCGCACCACAGAGCATCTAGAATCCAAAATTTTTTTACTTCTTTTTTTACTCGTCACCGACACCACGAAGTAACACATTGGTTAAACCATATTTTTTTCGATTTTCATTTTTTTTACATTTCTAAACATTATTTATCAAGGCCTACCATTGCACAAAGTTTCAAAGCTTCAAGAGCTTTACTTTAATAATTACGCTAATTATCCATGGCAACTTTTTACTTTGTAAAAACAAAAATTTACAGTTTCGCAGCTTTTTCGGTTTCACGAACTAACACTCAGCTTTTTTCTCTTATTTCTTGTTGATTTAATACATAAACGGGTTAAAAACAGCAGATTTAATCAATTCAATTCATCAAGTGTACATGGGTGTTACTTCGTGGTGTTGCTGACGTTATGGTGGCCCTAACCTTTATAGTAGCCTATTCCAATGCCTTGAATACTTCTACACACAAAGAGACATTGATTGAGTTTGACTGGGAGTGAAATTGTTTTCAAAAGTTTTGTATAAACTTTTTTTTTACCATAAATGCCATCTCCAACCAGATGTTTAGTGACCCATATCTTGTCCGGATAAGGCGGGTTTGGGGCAGTGTCTTGCATCCAAGAGCCCCAGTATTTGTTTCCAAACTTGTGGTCCACTGGGAAACCAATCTTGGTCAACACACACTCTGGCATACACAAAGAACAAAAGGGGAAGGGGAATAACAATGTTTTGCCTCAATAGTTAGAATTTAACCATGTCCTAATTTCATGTCGCTGCTAAGCACACGATTTTCTACGAACAGAGCCTCCGTTTATATAACGGAGACTATAACCAGTAAGCACAGGAAAAAGGAAGCTTACTCAATTAGTGATGTAACAATAGAAATCTTCATGTATGCGCAACCGTTAGCACATCCACGCCATAAAATAGTGCTTAAGGTTAGCACAATTTTCTGCTATAAGTAAGCACAACTTTTCTGCTAACTGTTAAGCAGTGCCATGAAATTGCATATTATATAACCGACATACAGATCCTTATCATTTGATTGGTGGAACTCACATCACGTGACATTTGCTATTACTGCCATTCACTCCGGGGCTCAAAAAGTACTATCCGCCCATGGGGAATGGGAAATACTATTGAACAGTTAGGATCATTCTTGCTCCATGACGCGGTATCAAGTTGTACGCAAATGCATGCTGGTGTGCACGTTCAGCGCTGCGCGTAGCGTGTATTGTTCCAAAGAGCCAGCGCTACAGCATTGGGTTCAAACATTTTCGTGAAGGGGTGGTTTGGAAGAGAGAAATACATTTTTCACCAATTTTGTATTGAAAAAAAATATATATCAAAAGGATCTATATTTCAGTTATATAAAACAAATATTGAGTAGCTATAAATTGTGAAATGGGAGGAATATTATCGCTCGGTAAAATCTGGACTTTTCCAGTTCACTTGGCTTTACCTCGTGAAATGGAAAAGTCCAGATTTTACCTTGCGATAATATTCCTCCCATTCCACCCTGATCCACTCAATATTTGTATACTATTATCTTCAAGCTAACTTTTTTAACGCCCAATTCTGACTGGTCGATCGATGGCAACTAAAGTGTGAAATTATCCCACATAACACAGTCCATATTGCACTCTGCGCATCACGCGATACGTTTAATATAGGACAACCACTCAAACGTTCCTTAAGTGTGTGCATTCCATCTTAACAGTGTGTCAAGTTTGCTTAAAGATTATAAATTCATTATCATACTTGCGCTCTTAATTAACATGTAGTGGGCCTGTATTCCTTTGGCTACTATAATTTTGTATGTTGGATACTGTTATGTCATTGGTCTAGAATGGCCACGTGTCCAGTCTATAAAAATGACTGTTCCTTCATATTCACTGCGTTGCATACAAATGACGTCTGCTGTGAGCACGCCTGTAGTACTGGCCCGTGCATCTCACAACTGATCAACTGCAACTGCTCAGTCTCATATCTGGAAGGAAAGCTTGCATTTTTAAAAAGGTATAAAAGGTCTTGCATAGTAAGCTAGCGCCGTTGACTTTTTGGCACGATATAACAAAGCAATTGTTGAACGCTGTGATGTGGGATATGTGTGTTTTAGCCGCTTGGGCCGCACAGCACCCTCGGATTTGCCTCGGGTGCTATGTGCCCCCTTGGGTGTTAAAAAGGCCATATCCCACATCACAGCAGTCAACAATTGTTAAGCATGTGTGCAATAAGGTGAATATAGCCCAGTCGTATATATACAGCAAACGCCCCTTTAAGATCTGGCCCTACCTATTCACCAACTCAAATACAAAGTCAGCATTGTCAGATTTATATTCAGTATACCTGAGTTTGGAGAACTGTCTACGTCAGGAGACGGTTGTGGCTTGCTGGGTTTTGCAGTGGGAGTTGGACCATATGTAGCCTTTCCTGAAGCTTAAAACAATTGAAAAAAAAATTAAGCTTGTTATCTTGAACCTCAGTTTCTGTTTACTGTTTGGAATAAAAAAAAAAAGGATAAGAAAAACATTCCAAAAAGTAAATGACATGTGTTGAGTGAGGGAGCCAAAACAACAAAATTTCAATTTAAGTAATTGGTTTCTGAAGGGAAGTTTTTCCCATGTACCAATTTTGTTAAAACTCACCTGGCTTTTCATCATCACCAGCATTGCCAAGTTCCACCATACCTAGAACACATAGGGGAAAAAATACAGAACATAATATCTCACGAAACGATGCAATATGGGATGTCTCAATTATTTGAATTTCTATTAGCCCCCGCATCAACAGGCAGGAAAGTAATATTGCTTTTTAATTCCCTCTCCAAGCATCTTTTCAAAACACACCCTTTCACAGATGCAATTTGGGGCCTTGTAAATGAGTGTATTTTTATGCTAAATTCAAACAAGATGCGGAAATCAACAGGCCGGTGGCCAGGGCTTCACTGCTTCCAAAGAAATGGACATTTTTTTTTAACAATCTGGTAAAATATTTCTTTGAGCAACTTTAGCCAGGCCACACTTAGTTTAACAGCTAGGGGTATATGTATTCATAGGAAACGTCCCCTTTGGCTCCATTGAAAGGAATTTTGCCTTCTTAGCTGGAGCACAGTCCAGCAATAGTGCCCTCAATGCCAGTAGCACAAGCTCTGTGCCCTCAGGGTGCAACACTGCAAAAAAAATCCCATAGACACTAGTGCTAAATGCTCATACTTCAAAATTCTTTTAAAAATACTCAGAACTCTCACAGGTATTCAAGCTGCACAGAAAAATTATGATCAATGTGTCATCTTTCATTTTCTTTTCATTTTTTGGTGGGTTGACCATTGACTTTTTGAGATATTCTCACCCAAAGAAGATGACCCCTATTTTCCCCAAAGCGGAAAAGTAGCCATCTTGAAAAACGATCCCTCCACAACATGGCAAAATAGCGCCACTTTCGAGCCCAATAGCATCCAAAATGCTCAGAATTGGAAGCCACAAGTCCGGGCCAGAGGTTCATTACCATATCTCTTCAATTCCCCAATTTTATGGCTCTCAAAACTCTCTAATATAGAATATTTTGAGGGTATAACTTTTAATCATGAGCTCGGCGGACGGATTTTTGGCCTATTTACAGGCGTGCACCCCTCAATGCCAGTCATAGCATAGTGCCCTCAATGGCATTTAATATTTTTGCTCCATCTGAATGATGAGCTTACCTGATGCAATACCACGGTCCCCCTTCTCCCCTTTCTCTCCCTTCGGTCCACTGGCTCCATCTTCACCAGGTTGACCTGCAGGACCTAGTTTTCCTGTCAAGCAAAGTCATAGAGTAATTTGAATGCTTCTAAATGACACCATCGATAAAAAAAAGAAGTCATTTTGTGGCCCCAGATGCCACATAATAAATCCTGACAAATTTCAGCTCACTAACTCAGTATTTGGTCAAATACCAAAAATGAAGATTTAATTTGTCAGGCCAAGATTTAAACACTTTGCTAATACCATTATCTTAAAGAAGGATAGGCCTACTTTTGCCCAATTTCCCATTTTCTACAAAGTTGCTTAAAAGGACGCACAAGGTATCCAGAGGCTCGAAATGAATCCTGACCAAATTTCAACTCATAACAACCAGTTTCCAGTTGGAAAACCAAAATGGAAGGTTTTACCATTTTGTCCAAATCCAAAAAGCTAGTATCATCCCCCCCCCCCTAAAAAAATTGGAACGACATTTGTTTTCTCCATATTTGCCCAGAAGCTCACTTCATCCGCTTTTAAGACAGAAAATAAAGGTTTCAGGTTTTAGCCATTTTACCCCAAAGCTCAAAATATTTCCATACCCAGCATCATAACAAAGTATTTTTTTAATTTGAACAAATGTTCACCAGAGGCCAGAAAGAATTCCCTGCAAAAATGAAGCTTACTTCAACCAGTTTTCAGATAGCAAACGAATATTTCAGGTTTCGCCCCCAATCTAACAACTTCGCCATAGCCGGCATCATCAAACAAGTTAATTTATGGCCCAAAAATTCATCTTCACCAAGTTTGGTCAAATTTTCACACCAAGTGTCTAGAGGCCAGAAATGAATCCCTGAAGATTACAATTCGCTGCGGTCTCTAACTATTGAGACAACTAAGATTGAATAATTTCATCGAATCACCCGAAATCCAAAAAGTTTTGCAGAGCCGGCTTCATTAAAAAAAGTCAATTTTTGACCAAAAAATCCATCGTCACCAAATTTGGTCAAATCTTCATGCAAGGAGTCTAGAGGCCAGAAATAAATTCCCTCAATATTTCAGCTCAGTACGATCACTATCCAGTGAGAAAACTGAGATGGAAGGATTTCACTGAATGACCCGAAATCCAAAAGGAAAATTTTTGACCCTAAAATCCATCTTCTCCGAATTGGTTCACATATTCACACAAGGTGCCCAGAGGCCAGAAAGGAGTCCCTGCAAATTCTAAGCTCATTTCAACCAGTTTCCAGTCAGGAAACAAAGGTTCATGATTTTTCCCTAAATCTCAAAAGTTTCCCATATCCGGCATTTTCAAAAAAAGAGAATTTGGGGCCTTAAATCCATTTTCTCCAAATTGCTCAAATGTTCACACACAGTGCAAGAAAGGAGTCCCTGCAAAACTACAGCTCACTCTAAACAGTTTCCACTCAGAGGTACAAATTTCAGCCACTTTGGTCCGAATCTATTACCATACCTTGCAACATCAAAAAGGTATTTTGCCCCAAAATCCATATTTTCCAAATTTGCTCAAATGTTCACACAAGGTGCTTGACGGAAGGAAGTAACATTTTATCTGTTTTAAACTCACCTCGGGCTCCTTTATCCCCTGTTTGTCCTGCAGAACCTTGGGTTCCATCAGCTCCTGGCAACCCCTGAGCCCCTGTCTGACCTGGCAACCCATCCACCCCCCTATCGCCCTTATCTCCCATCTCCCCCTTGCTGCCTGGTCGCCCATCGATGCCCGGCGGTCCGGGTAGACCGGGGTCACCAGTGGAACCCCGGGGTCCGGGGGGACCCGTGGCCCCTTTCTCCCCTGGGTCGCCTGGGTACCCAAAGGAACCCGCTAGGCCCTTGGCCCCAGGGGTGCCTTTGGCCCCGGGCGGGCCGATGGGTCCCTGCGGGCCGGCTCTGCCGAGTTCGCCAGGGTCTCCTTTGAGCCCCTGTGGGCCTTGTTTCCCCTGTTTGCCCTCGGGTCCTGATGGGCCTGGTGAGCCTCTGGGACCAGGAGGACCCTGGATCAGCTTGAGAGTTCTATTGTCCAGTTCCATCAACTCCTCAAGGAAAGCAGTGACTGGTGGACAGAAATGGCCAAATACATGTACAAAATGTGTTAAAATATTTTATTTTTAAAACTTCAAAAACATTTTATTTTTAAAACTTCAAAAATGTTTGCAAGAGCTGTCCAAAAGCTTGTGAGAAATAAGGCTGAAATTTTGACTCATGAAATTTGTTCATTTTTGAAATAATATGGTGCATTTTTATTTGAAATTATTAATTAATATTGATTGACATTTGTTATTTAAATTTGTATGCTAACAAATTTTTACTGGGAATTCCCCCTGCCACAAAACGTGCTCTTAAGCGGCATGTTAAATCATAACAACCTTTTGCAGGGAATAAATTTGGCTTTGGGTACCCACTTCTGTGGGTCATTAGCGCACTTGGAACATATTTTGTTACATTAGTATTACACGCTAATGTCCTTTTGCCTGGGAAAAATAATGACAACCTCATTCTGTTTTTGTTCCTACTGTTAATTACGTCAGAATGATGTAGCCCCTTGAGACAAAATATATCTCAAATGAAAGATTTTTCCATGCTCTATCAATTACCCGAAAAATCCAAATGTGACCTTTTGACCCATTTTTCACTTTAACAGCCTTCTTCCTAGCACCAGAAGATATAATAGCCTGTGAGAAATTACCTCTTATTTAGAGAAAACTTTCTCTGCAACTAAATATGTGTCGTCAAGATAGATGATTGTCTTGCAGGGTCTTACCATTACAAGCTTCACTCACTGTCTCCCTCGTCCCAGGCTGTCGGATGGGCCCAGTGTCACCCATTACTCCTGGCTCACCCTTTTCACCTTAAAATACAAGAATACCGCACACTCAGTAACAAATCAATTAAATTTTGACAATTTGTATGTACTGTAACGCAAATGAGCGAGATTTTCTGTGGTGCGAGCGAGAGCATCAAGCAATCATTGTCTAACTATAGAGGGCGCTAGAGCGCTACTGAGCTAGTTGCACACATTCAGCGTGCGAGCGGCAGTGCGTGTTCAGTCGTCGGGAACGGACGTGTGGAGTGCTGAGCTCAGGTATTGGAGGCTACAGTGTGCGCAACCTCGATTCGAGCGTAGGCCACTGTTAGGAATACTTGAGTGGGACTGCAGTGGGATGCCGATAAGGAAACAAGGGATTAGTTTCTGGTCCGTGTACTAGGGGAAGGGAATTAACTTACCTTTGGAACCCTAGGAGGAGGCACTTGTAGCCTCAAGGCTACAACGGGAGGATCCAAACTAGGAGGCGCGTCAATCGCTGGGAGGCGGCACCACTAGCGCTAGGCAGATCAGAGGCGCTTATTCATTTATTTATTTACTTATAATTATGGCAATCAGTTAATTATTGAGGATACAATTTAATCGATGATAACTGGGAGGTTCAAGCAGCAGTAATTGAGAGATAATTAAAGGAGGTCACAACGTCATTATTTTCTTGTCCCATTTACTATCGTCCTGTGTCCTGTCTGTCCCCGAGGAGGTTTACTGAGGGTCCAGTCATTAGCCCTGTGCATTAGGCGGTACATTTCCGCCCAACGGGCCTACTCCACCGGTCTTGGGTCTCTTGAAGGAGGTCCCACACCTGCTGGGTGACCACCGGGGGGAACAAATCGTCCGGGGTAATTTGGTAAATCCGCTACAGTACTAAAAATCTTTTGACAGTTTAATTAACAATGTTCCGTACCTTTTTGTCCAGCAGCCCCTTCAGGTCCAGTAGGCCCTTCTCGTCCCGTATCACCCTTGTCACCTCTAGCGCCGGTCTGTCCAGGATCACCCCTGCGACCTCTGGATCCCAGGGGTCCTATCGGTCCTGTTTCACCAATGTCACCCTTCTGACCTTTCACCGCTGCTGTGCCGTTGGGGCCAGGGGGTCCCTGCAGGCCCCTGTCACCGATGTCCCCCTTGGGACCCTCGGGACCGGGCGGGCCAGGGGGCCCTGTAAGCTGTTGCTTCTCTACGGCCGAAGTTGGGATGAGGAATTTGGTCATCATGTCACCATCTGCAAAGAAAGTAGAACTTTTTACTTGTTCATTAATAAGCCAGTTCGGTATTTCAATGACCCGAGGTAATGCGGGATAACATCGCTGACGTGATGTTATGCGATGTCACGCGCACGCCCATTCTGCTGATAATTTACACGCAAGCGTCATGCGCCTGCGTCCATGCGTCTTCAAAACTTTCAATTATTCCGAATGACCCATGACCCATATCATTGTGCACATGCGCAGTTGGAATACCGAACTGGCGTATTTCACAGGATGACAGATGATGAACTGCAAGACAATACCAATGAAAGTCTATAGTGTAGTGATGATCTGCCTCTAGCAGAAAAACGATAGAAAAACATCTTCACTGTTATGTAAGAAAAAATATAGAGAGAAATATGGTTAATTCTGGTCTATTTGTGACCAGCCTCTTGAGGGAGCTAGGTCACATCGATGGTTAAGACAGCCGCATGCTGAATAATGCTAAGTAGGAAGCCAAGACCAAAAAGTACCATGATGACATTTTTGCCATCATTTTGCTGGTTCTGAACAGTCAACTAGACTTGTCCAACTATAATCAACTAGCATGGGTTCAAATGAAGTTAGTCAAACTATGGTCCACCAAACTAGCCCTTAAATGAAGAAGACGATGTTCTGATATATTTTCAAAGTACCTGGGTCTATACAAGAGCAGTTGCTGCCATCCCTTCCAGCCTCTCCTTGTGGTCCCTGCACTCCCGGCAGTCCGATATCACCCCTGCTGCCTCTCAATCCGATTGACCCTGGAAAACCAGAGACACCCTTTTCACCTCTTAACCCGCGATCTCCCTTCTCTCCGTGTTTGCCGTGTCGGCCGTGGTCCCCAGGGCTGCCGGGATCCCCCTTGGGTCCCGTCAACCCAGGCGGGCCAGTCGGTCCCGGTTCTCCCACCTCGCCCTTCCGTCCCGGTTCGCCACGCCGACCTTGTGGTCCATCGAATCCTTGTAGTCCCCGATCACCTGGGGCACCCTTCTCCCCCACTGGGCCAATCGTTCCTTGTCCACCCGTTTGACCCATTGGTCCTCTGTACCCAGTGTCACCTTTGACCCCTTTGGGTCCCGCCTCACCACTCAGACCTTGTGGTCCAGGGATTCCCGGGTCACCGCTCTCGCCTTTGGGTCCCGGTTGGCCGGTGTCACCCTTGGGTCCGGGCTGCCCAATATTCCCAGCCAGTTCTGCTGTTTTCTCCAACAGCACAGCAAAATCTGTCAAGAGAAAAATGGAACTCTCTAAGCATACATGATTTGTGGAACAGCTTTAACAGTGGTGTATACATGTGACTCTTCATAGCAGCATCATGGAATCCAGCATAGTTTAAAGAGAGTTAGCTGAGGTGTTGAAATCTAATTTTTTGTCAATGGGATGGCATGAGTGGCTGAGGTTTTTTAAGTCAACACATATGGAGATCAAAGAACTGCAACAATGTGCTTAGAATGGCATGATGACATTATGTCAGGAAAGCAATTCTGTTTTTTTCCCCAGTTATATTAAATGATAAGCATTGGTCAGACGGAAGGGTGTGCATGGTAACTGGTAACCATACCCCTGCTCTGCCCCCCCCCCTCCACTCCCCAACCCTCGCAAAAATTATTATTATTTTTTTTAAATCAGCCCTTGAACAGGTTCACTGATCTCAGATCTCGCTTCTCACTTGAAGCGTTTATGTCCAAAATGCAATATATTCATTTTAAAAAAGTGACAAATTTGCACGGTTATGAAGCTTTAAACAATTACATCAGTATAACAGCAATTTCTAAACTTTGTTCCTTCGCTTTGTTGTTTTGTTGAAATGTGCAACTATACAACAAGCGTCGAAACTGATTTTTGGCAAGCAGCAGAGAGCGGGATTGAAGTAACAAAATGGCATTAATCGCATTTTAGAAATAAACTCTTTACTTTATTTGGCAGAGTACTTGCGACTAAACCTTACTCCTTCAATCATTTCCCAGGGTTCATACCCTTCCAACCCCCCCCAAAAAAAACCCCAAAAGTTCACAGCAATTAGAACTCAATCAAAACAATACAGTAAATCTTATTCTTTAAACTACCCTTTAGTCTTACATAATGTTATTTAGTATTTTTACAGGTTCTAAAAGTGAAACCAAAATGTAGAATGGAGGAAAAGTTGAACAGGCTGGAATCAGGAATTCAAAGAATGGAAATCACACTCAAGTGTCAACAAGGCGAGACTGTTGCTGGATCAGTGTCCGTTCCAAAGGGAATTATTCTCAATCACTTAATGCCACACAGAGCTAAGGGGTTTAAGCACCAATATGATGAACTCGTAAAGCTTTGGACCTGACTTAATCCTTTAACTGTTCCTGTCAACAGGCGCAGGCTGCACTGTACACTTTCAATTGCGAAACTAGCTTTTTCCAATTGCAGTGGTAGGTTTAAGTGTTACAGAAAAGCTAGGCTAACATTTCTTTGGAGAGATCGTGGCCTTATAGGAATCGGAGTCCACGCACGTGAGTTTTGATGATTGATTTTTCAATAAGGAAGGTTAGAGTTCGATTGGGACCTTTAAGGGTTTTCTTTGGAAGGGCTTTGAAAAGCGTGAAATGAGAAACGGTTTTCTACAAATTTGCTTTGGGAATAGCCCCTTCTCTAATGTCCTTGCAGCTTCACACAAAAACTTGGCAGTGATTATTTACCATAAGTATTTGCTGAAATAATACAAAGCGTTCACAAATTTTTACACGAAAAATTGTGATATTTTCCCAAATTTTCCATTTCCCCGATTTCCCTTATTTAAAATTTGCCCCACATATTAAACAATTTCTTATTTTTTACACCAAAAAGTGTAAAATTTTGTGATTCTTCAAATCACAAGGTATGTTTGGCTGTCTTTAGACAAGTTTCATATCCAGGCTATGTGTTTGGGAGTCCGGGGGGGGGGGGGGGGGGGGGGGTGGCAAGATGGGTAGGCCTATTTCTTATGAAAAAGTGGTCACATTTTTTCACACATTCTAAAAAAAAAATTAAAACTCAGGGCCCAATTTCATAGCACTGCTTAACAGTAAGCAGAAAAGTTGTGCTTACTATAGCAGAAAATCATGCAGCTGCTTAAGCACTATTTCATGCTAACGGTTGCGCGCATGGAGATTTCTATTAATAGTTTATAATAGTTTATGCGGTACCCGCTGCTATATATGTACATCAGATTCGAACCGAACCGATCCCGTTAGCTTGGTGGTCGAGTGGTAAGACGTCTGCACTAGAAAGCAGGAGGTCGTGGGTTCGAGTCCCACTCAAGTGATTTTTTTCCAACTTTCACTCGGGAGGTAACACACTGAGTATACAGTGTTTAAACGTCCGTGAAGGGCAAAACCTATATAATTTGATTTATATTACCCTGACGCAAAATTCCATCTTATAATAGAGATTTCTATTGTTACGTCACCGATTTAAGCAAAGATTTCTTCTGGGGTTAAGCGTGCTTTTGCTGTACTTACTGCTTAACGGTCCCTATGAAATAGATGGAGGCTCGGTAAGCACAAAGTCGGCTGTTAAGCAGCGGTATGAAATTGGGCCCAGGAGGGAATTGCTCCTCGGATCAATTGAGAGATGCTACAACATTCATTTCCTTAAAAAATATCACCATGGTGGGGGAGGGGAGCAAGTTCCCCTCCCATATGCCATTGCTTCAGACCAAATCTACTCACCATCTGTGCTGCAGTTACAATTTTTGCCATCCTCCCCAGGCCTTCCAGGGGCACCAACAGGACCCTCATCTCCCTGATTGCCCGGTGGGCCCTGGATTCCTAGGCCACCCTCTTTGCCTGCTGGACCTTGGGGCCCTGAAAGAGACAAAAAGGTTAACTGGATTAAGATGATAACAATTTACAATAATGTGTATTTATAAAGCGTATGTATCCACCAGTGTCAGTGCTCAAGGCCCTACATCATTAAAATCCCCGCTCACCGGGCCAATGAAAAATGTCCAAAGACAATCTCAGCTCCTTGGGGAGTGTGACCAGGCAAAGCAGCTACTGGCACCATCATATAACCATAGAGCTAGGAACATCCTGCCCACACAGATACCCATTTACTCCTCAGGCTGGGTGGGGAGCACCATTGACAAAGTGCCTTGCCAAAGGGTTATTAATGTATTGAACCCCAGGCTGGACTTGAACCCACACATTGCAGAATTACCCGCAGACTACGAAGTCAATGCTCCAGACCACAAGGCCATGGCATTTCCACTCAAACTGGAGCATTATGAATTTTAGTCCTCCCCTTACGCCAACTTCAGGGCCGCATTCCTCACACTAATTCGCATTCTGATTACGTTAACAGAAAACCTTATCCTAACTCAAAGCGGTATAGCATCCCAATTTTAAGCAAATTATTCTCTAAAGTTAATGTATACTGTTACTACATTTACATTGAGATGGGGGCTGTATTAGCAAAAACAACCTGAAAATCAGACATATTTTTCTGACTGAAGCACTTGCTCAATAGTACTGTTTGCATTTTTCCCCTTGCTTTAATGCATTAATTGATCTGGGTTTTTTGGAGGAATATTAATGTGGAAAGTTAAAATGATATTGTAAGATAAAATTTAGGTGTCTTTTTTTTTTTAAACTGTCAAGTCCTCAGTACAGATTGATAAATTTGCCCAGTTGGATAGATGAAAAGTTTATTTGTACACCTGCTAGACTTAATTAATCAATCAAGACATAATTGCTGATTCTTTATTCTATTAGAATTTACCACTTTATTCCTACTAAAAAGGATTCCACACAACACTTTTACATTGAGAAAGGGACCCAAACCATCAATAACTCCTGTAAACAGCAATTTAGTCGAAGTAAATTTGATCTTTTTTTGTGTTGTTTTTTGTGCCTTTGCGGGTCATATGCCCCCTTTCTGCCACCCAGAATATGCCCCTGGCACGCACAAACAATTTGGCCAACAACTCCGACAACTTAAATTGCCACAATGTCAGAGTGAGTCTGCATGTTATATTCCTCAGCAGAAGGAAACAATTTCGTTCTAGGAAAAGTTGGAAAAATCCCCAGCAAACAGAAAATCAAACAAAAGATCCAGAAATTAGTCCCGCTCACAGTCAAATAGAGATAAAATATGACAATATACAAGGCACTTAATTCTGTCAACCCCTAAGAAAATGACAGGACAGAAGAGATTAATTTCTAAAAATGGGTTAAAGTCAAAATGATCTCATGTGTCAGGATGTATCCTGTCGGAAGAAAAAACAGACTAAAGGATTCACTCCACATGTGAGCAGTCGATTTCCTTACCAGGTCAGTCTAACAATAAACAGCGTGTCATTGCAAGGGAATGTTCTTTTTAACCAACTGGCCTTAAAGAGATTTAGAGAGATTTGTTGCATCACTTGCAAAGTTCAAGTACACACAAGTACAAGTACAACACTGGTTTTTCACTTTAAGTTCATCGTCTTGTGAGCTCGTAATTTCAGACGTGATCACAGCCTAATCACGTTAGGCCTGAGGGTGACTGTCATTCAGATATATTTTTAGCTAACATGACCCAGAATGTTTAGATAGAGACACAATAAGGGGAAATCACAAAGTTTGGTTTAACCATCGACAGTGCTGTTAATAAAAAAAAGAAACAACAGCCAAGTCTGCTTCATCGTGCCTACAAGTACAATAATGAGTGTGGCAATAGTTGTCAAGTTCCTAAACTCTTGAAAGTTGTTTTGAAGCTTTTAATGAATGTTGTCAAAAAATCTCTATATTTTGTTTAATTTAAGGGTTAAGATTCAATCTTTTCGATTTGAAAAATGAACCAGACTGAGGAGGTTAGTCTATGTGGAACTTTTTTATATGCGAGTGCAGAGTACAAAGCCCTTATTGCGTGTGGTTTGGGCCTGGAAAATTTTGGATTCTAGATGCTCTGTGGTGTAATCTGAGGCATTCCTGCACTTTCCCCTGAATTTTGAGCAAAAGTTTATCAGCGCAACATAGTAAACACAATTATACCATGAGGGTCACCACAAGCGGAATGTTTTGCTTTAATTTCTTTGCAGAACTCGTCAGCGAGGGGGGGGGGGGAGGTTTTGTTCGAACCCCCCCCCCCCCCCCCAAGAGTATGGGCCTGGCTTACCAACTGGATTGAACTGAAACATACAAACGTTTCCATCAAGCCACCAAAAAAAAAAGAGTTCTGCTTCCGATTACATGGCATTTGAAAATAGGGTAGGTAGGTGGGGAACTTTTTTTTTGGGGGGGGGGGCATTTTTTGTGTACGATCATATATGGAGGTGTCTGTGTGTAGTACAGGGTAAAAGGTAGTAATTGATGGTTTTCGGGGTTTTTTTCTCATCCCCTCCCCCCAAAAAAATTAGGGTGGGGGCTGTCAAAATAGGGTAGGGTTAACCGGAAGCAGAACTATTATTTTTTTTTTGGCCTCATCAGTAGGATCTTTTCCAAAGATTTTGTTCACACAAAGATCTTGCTTTTTTTTTGCCTTTGAGACAGATTCTGTTAGGATTGAAACATCAGGCCCTCTACCATTTTTTATCTCTTTAAATTGGCCCGTCTGCAAACAGTATTATTTGTTCTCTTTTTTTTCCACGGAAATGAACTTTGTATATTTGTGTTTGAGGGGTGAGTGTGTTTTACGCATATCAACAAAGTGATTCATCCTTTTTACCCTTTTTGTCACTGGAATTCCACTTGAGATTAATCCTTTGTTGATGTGTTTGATTTGTCTTTTGAGTTCTGTTTGTGACGCCAGTCAGTAGTGGGTCCAAAGATTAACAGCAGTCTAACAAGTGGACCAACCCAACATTGAAAATGAATGCTTCAACAAATTACTATTGTTTTCATTTTAGCTTTCCTGACCAAGTTTAAAGATATAGTCCATCATTTGTAATTTGTGCATTTTGTTCGTTTGAAGCAACAAAAGTGTTCAAAATCTAATGAAGGATACTGAACAACTAACCTGATGAAGTTTCAGCTCAGCTTCAGCTGTATATTCCGAGAAAAACAGCATTCTAGGATCTCAATTTCAAATCAAAAGTTGCTGAATCATGTTTTGAATTGTTTTGAATTGCAGCTATACGTGATGTCGCGCACTGATCCGACGAATTATAGCAACCGCGCGCGCCTGTGCATCGTGCCAATGCTTACACGAGCTCCGACGAATAACAAAACGAACTACTAATTTAAATTTTCCTACGGTGCGTCTTAAGACGCACCGTTGGAAAGGCCTTCTTCTGTTGATTACTTCAAAATGATAGCTTGCCAGAAAGATTAATTTCACAGGGAGTTTAGTCCACTTACTATCTTTCAACCAAGTATGTTTTTCAACAATAATACGCCAGTTACTTTTTCGGATGGCTGCAAATGATGGACTATAGTTTTAATCTAAAAGGTAAAACTTTACCTAAGAAAATGCCGATGTTAAATGTAAGCATAATTATTCATTAATTACTCTGTATGTAACATTTGTATCTTCTAACAAACCCTTATATGGGCATGTAGTCTTCACTCCAACCATGAAGAAGAAAATGGAAAGAATTAGAAAAAAAAAGGAAAAAGTAAACCACCCTTTGTGTCCCCCCCCCCCCCCCCATCACCAAAAAAGGACATGGTTGGATTTTGAACAATCTGGCGGGGGTATTACCAATTTTACAATGCTTATACAATTTTAACACCTTTTTTATTAACAAATACAACAAAAAAACGAACGATTTCATTTACCTGGAGGACACCTGCTTGTTGTCTTGTTACAAAAGGCAGTGATTGAGTCAAGCTGTAAGAAAGACAAAACAAATGCTTAGCTTGTTCTCATTTCCTACATGCATTGACAAAACAGCAACAAACTACCTTGATTGTAGCATACATTTGAGATGGTACGTGGCATTTTTGTTAGTACATGTATTTTATGACAACTGAGTATTTCTTTAAAATTGTATAGAATACCCCATTTCTGCAGTTTCAATAAAATCATTAATTCTCAAAATATCTTTCCCTAAGTATTCAAGGTTCGATTTTTACAGAAAAATTAATGCATTTCTTTGTATAAAGGAGGGAATAAAACTGCCAGCTATGATAAAAAAAATTAAAATTTACGAAGACAACAAACGCCTATTATCTGTCAAGTAAGAAGCAATATATTTTTGATTAACTGTCCGAAAACGGCTGGTGTCAAATTACAAAAAAAATCTTCAAAAAGAAGGTTGCTTTACATCAACTAGGGAAAACAGTGGCACAATCCTACTAGGAGGCACTAATGAAGGGGGGGGGACAATTTAAAAGGAACATGTAACAAGAATCAAAAATTACATTTGAAGACTTGCTTTTAAAAGTTCAACACTCAAACAGGTTGACAAATTTACGACTGTAGCACTTCCCTAAGGCTTAACATTGGATGCTATCTTGCACAACGCATACCTAACCAGGCTGGCAATAATGAGGTGAGGCAGACAATGGGTCAAGGATGCAGGTAAAAAACCCACCTTTACCGTCTCATTCATGGTAGAAAAGGAAAAACACCCTGCTTACATTTCTTTATTGACTACGCTTTTTGTACAAAAAAAGGTTTAGAATACCTCTGTATGGTAGGTGGAAACACCCAGGGGCGATGTATGTAAACACTGTGATGTGTCTGTGCAAATATTTCTGTTCTGTCAGTTGGAGTTTTTAGGTCTCGTGCCTTTTTTGACACACTGGTAATTCTATGCACTTTTCTGTGGAACATGTAGTTGTCTCCTGTGTACATGTACCTGGGGCATTACACTTGTCAACTTGAACACTTTGGAAAAACCCTAAAAGGTACATGCTAGCAGCATTCAAGTTGTTTTGTATGTGTTTTGGGTTTTTCTCCTGCATATTTGGGAAAAGGCCTTTGTTTTTGTTCGGATTTTACTTCTTTTCTATTTTTTTTCTTCCGCATTTGGTATTTGCATGAAGGCGCGAACTGCCTACCAGATTCATTCAAGAAAAATGTAAAAACTACCAGTGTTTACTACAATTACAATTCACAAGTAATTAATTTCTGCAGTAACAATTACACATTTTATTGTAGTTGGCATTTTTAGCCATTTCAAGAACAAGACAGATTTTGTTATGAACATTTCTTGCTCCTCAATGAAAATACCTCATTTCCCTCTGAGAAGGAACACGCTATATTTGGTTATTATTGAGTGTTTTGTTATCAACGATTAAAAAATATGTAAAACATTTGGACACAAATATGCACATACTTGAATAAGTATGCGCTTTTGTCAATTTTCCTCATGAACAAAAGTAGCATTAGATTATAGATGTGGACTATTTTTTTTCTGTTCTTTAATCCTTTCAACATTCCATGCTTGTAGGATATTCATGTTGAAAGTACCTCTGTTCTTTGTTCTTCCCCAAGGGCCCTATTGACACCATGACAAATTGTGCAGAGAAGTCAGGGATCAAAGTCAAGGTAAACAGTAATTGTCAATGGAAACAGACTGGGCCCACGTGTTGTTTACAGTGCTATGGATGGAGTGCACATTGTGCCCAAATGTGTGGTCCTCCTCTTCGAGCTTCCTGCTGTACGTGGGCTTCGTGTTCAAATACCATCAGAACCCAACAATGTTCACAAGGAAATGTTTTGACAGGACCAGTAGCTAGTCTGGCGCACTTGAGATAAATGACAAGTTTCCTTTAGTTTAGCTGTTACAGATGACAGCTGTTATGTATAGGCTCACTAGACAAATCCAGTTTTCAGCATCTGTCAAGGATGCCACATGAGTAACAAATCAAAAGCTGCATGGATAACTGGACAAGGTTATTTAGCTTGCACCTATGTGCATATATCTTCTTGTGATGTCTGACTAACTTAAGTGAGTGTAATTTCAGTAAATGATTTACAGGGGGAAGGACTAGGTTGAATGTGATCGGCTGATAAAATAACAATTCCACACATCGTTTTCTCAGGTTATTGCAGAGGAAACTGCCAAAGAAACACTTCAGCTCAAATGTTGGAAAGAATGTTGCAACCTGACGCTACATCAGCGGTTGTATACAAAGTATGGAGAGTCAAGAAAATTTTCTAAGTGTTTCCTAACAAAATTGGAAATGTTTCTCAGTCCCAGATTCATGTCTTTTCATCATATTTGCAATGACTGATCTTCATTAGGATGATATACATGTATGAAGCAAAAAGCAGCGTCATGTTGCAACATTCTTTCCCAGATGTTTAGGCTCCAGCACATGAAAAGGTGAACAGTTAATCGATGCCATTACTTTTGTTTTAATTTTAAAAAAAAGTAAAACAATGGTAACAGTTACAATTCACAGGCAAAGAAGCCGGGTACATTGAAATCTAACACTAAGCTTTGAAAAAGGTGTCATGACTTTTGACAGCATGCACTCTGGCATCAGGGAGAACTTTGTAAACATTATATTGGGTTTCACTATGCGGAGTGCTTTCCAAAAGTAAAAGAATCCTCATTTGAAATGTGCCTTGATTTTCTAGATTTGATTCTCAGTAAAGTGCATACTAATTTTAGACCAAGGCTGTACTTCCTATTAGCGAAAGTTTATTGTAGCTTCTGCTTGGGAGTTCAGGGGGGAGTAGTAAAAGGGGAAGAAAGAGTGAAGGTCTAAAATATCTTAGGGGAATTTTAAATTGCAATCCATTATTTTCATAGGTAAAATGCCTCCGAGGAGGTGAGTATGGGGCTGAGCAGTTTCATACAAAAAGTAGCATGGCACAATGTCAGCCTTTAAACAGTTTTCAAACAGACCTGCAAAATGACTGCAGGTCTGTTTGAAAAGAAGGGGAAAAAAAGAAAAGAAAACAGAAGCCTTTGGGACCAGGTCAAGCAAAATGGGACTAGTGGACCAACCCAGGCAGAAAAATCCACAGTGCAAAACAAGCCGAGTTGCCATGGTCCTGGGTTATGGGAAAACTCCCCTGCGGGTTCTGGACTTTTCAGGCACAGAACTTGCTTCCGTTCTGATAACCCTGCATTATTGACAATGAATATTTATACGGAGACTCTGGGGACAAATTTTAGTATAAATTACAAATAGGGACGGAGGAAACCTCATTGGTATCGTTTTTGCAGTTTGAGAATTGTTTCCAGATGTTGACTCTGGATGCCCTTTTGATCTTTCGGGGTTGGATTCTGGGGCTCAAAATTTACCCCTTCTTTTGTTGGAGGGGGTTAACGCTCCTAGTTAGAGGGCATTGACCTGGGGTTCCCTTCCTCCTCTACCCTCTCGGGAATTCTTTTGGAATCAAGAAAATTACACACTTAAAGGTAATATTCAACATTTGCAAACATCGAAAGACAAGGCTACCAAATTATTATGAAATATTTGAATTACTCAATTGACTGTAGGTTAATAATAATCTCAAGCGTCCTGTGAAATCATGGCACTTGGTGTGCTGTCGTTTTCAAGAAAAGTGAAAATTTGCGTATATCAATTTTGGTCGGCCAACCATCGTTGGGAAAAAAATGACTTTTTTTTCAAATACTGCCCCCAATTTACCAAATTTAGTTAGTCCACATTTTGTTTCCAATTGGTTACACATCTGTGAACAGGTGCAAGCCAGCTAGTCTGGTTCCCTGACCTGACAATTCCCCCGAGGTCTGTAAATTGATCCGTTTCGTCTGATGTAGGGTCAGGGAATATTTGCTATAAAATACTATAAAATCCCCCAAATCCATCCATTTCAGAAAATTACAGCAAAAGCAAGTGTTGTATGTTACCTTTTAACTTAAAATGGCATATTTTATTAAACATTCCAAAATTGGTTAAATTTAGCAAAGAGCAATTCCTTGGCGTTGGGTGTACTCAAAAAATGTCAAAAACCACTGACTTATCTTCTTCTTTTTTTTGCAGATTTCCTCTTGGGTCAAGTTTAAATTTAAAAATATAGCAATACAGGCTCAATTGACTGAACACTGCATTTTGAAATCTAAGATACACAGAATTTGAGGTCAACTAAATACCATAGTACATTCAGGTGTAACCCTCAAGGGTAAATTGAGTGAGAGTGACATAGTGCAGATGATAACAACCCCCTCCCCCTAAAAATTATTGTATCAATTTAAAAAATAACTTACAAGGAACCTAAAGTAGGGGGAAGTTAACCTTTTAAACAATTCAACATGCAGGAACATAATGTTACATGAAACTTCAGCAGGTAATTGAAAATGACAAACAGTACACCATTCCCAGATGCAACCTGTCATCATGCACTCTCACTGGAAATATTACATCCGATCCACGCACCGAAACTTTTTTGGCGGGCTGGGAAAAGTTAATTAACCCTTTTCACTCACCGATATGGTAATGGGGAGCCTGGCATAGGCCTCAATGGACGTGGCCCTTGGTGAGCTGGACTCCTGATCCCCGTGGGTGAATCCTCTTCGCACCCTGTTCAGCCCCCGCAGGTCAGCCGTGCCTGGCTTGTCTGCTACAATATTTGCCGTTTTCAGACCCAACTCTGCTCGCACTTGCTGGTTGTCACTACCGTGACGCGCTGCCGCAGCTTGCCTAGGGCCCCGCGGCGAGTCACCCGTGGAGCCGCTCGGGGGCAGCACGGTGATGTCTAACAGAATCTCCCCGTCCGGGCAGGAGCATTTCTGGCCCAGTTCGGCACTCAGGCTCGCCACGAAGACGTAGGTAACCCCGAAGCAAGTTGCCGAGAAGACGAACAGCAGTGCCAGGCCGAAATACAGGATTTTCACGTGGAGCGCGTGGGCGCACACGTTAGTTTTGTCCCCCGCCATTTTCAGTAATGCGCACGTTGTCATTGGAATTCCGCGTGTGCCAAATAGTCGTCGATATTGTCACAGTGCATGCAAAGCACACGTGCACCTACGCTCGTGTTTTGCCGATGGGCTGTGGTGACCTCACGTAAACTTTCAACCAATAAGAGCAATATGACTAATTAATTACATCACTACAGACAGCAGATGCAATCAATCAGTGCTCTGCTTGTGACAGTTTTCTGTTGCAACATTAATTTTCTTTTCCCGGGGTTTCGTTTTTCAAAAGAAAAAAACTTTCTTATAAAAAAATAATGACAGTGATTATTTTGAAGGAAGCGAGTAATTATCGGTTTAATAAGAACTGCTACTCATTTCAGAATATTTTGAAGTTGTCAATACTTGCCTGTCCTTTCCCATTGTATATTACTGAGTCGACAATCACGTTGGACAACAGAGTCTGCTAAAAAGTTGATTTTTATATGATTTTTTGTTATGTTTGCGCTTTCTGTTATCCAGGCCTATCCAAGTTCTATTCTGACAAAAAAAATCAGACTCGTTTCATTTAAATTAAAGGTTGGCATTTTTGAGGTTGAAGCACCGTAATAAGCTGCAGTCTAGATTGCGAATAGTCTCCAGCATTTCAGCAGCGAAACAGATTTTTTTTGGGGGGGGATTGAAAAAAAAGTATAAAATGTAAATTTGTATGTGGCGTGTGATCTCATTAACTAGAAAGGACGGCGGCCGGGGAAGTGCACTTCTATTATTTATTTTAAAAAAAACTGGGTGAGTGTACAAAATATTCCCAAGAACAAAATACCAGACCAAAGTTGTCCTATGCTCCGCATGGGGTCTCGGACAGAATACGAGCTCAAGCGGATTTTTGGCGCCTTTCGTGCTCTCTCTGACCCGTGTTTTTGTGGATAGGGAGCTTAGGACTGAATCCGTTCGGTAAGGCCCCAGTCGAAGCCGTGAGTGTTAAGCTATTTAGCTCGATCAAGCGTGAGTTATGCAAACTCTGGGCACAATGCCCAATTGAATTGGTCCATTTCTTGCGGTCGGTGCTTCTTTAGAGTTTTAGAAGCTCTGGCTACGGCGTTGATAATGCGCCAAACGTTGGTAATGTTTCAAATTTCTCAAGTGCGGTTTGAAGCTTTGTATGATGGAAATTACAAGTTGGGAGTTCGCGGAAACGCCACGTAGAGTGGCAAAGTTAACAGAGCAGTGTGATTATAAGAAGACTCCGTATACAGCCTGTCTCCAAAAAAAATGGTACAATCAGAAAAAAATTGGTTAAATATGAAATTTCAAAATAAGTCATTCTTACTTGGCATAATATTAAAGAACAAAGACTGGGCTTTCCAGTAGTGTTTGTTTGATCTTATTTGCTTTTGTCAATTCAGAGATATAATCAATTTAGTGCGATACACCAAAATCGATTTTGTGCCACTTTTATGCATGGGCAGAGTTGTTTCGAGTACTGTGCCATGCTGTCTTGAAGCTCACAAAAGATTGCAACTTGGCAAAAGAAACAAACTCGATTTATGTGTTCCGCAGTAAACTGGAGTTATCTCTGGATTGACAAAAGCAAATGAGATGAAACAAAAAGTATTGGAAAGCCTGGTCTTTTTTCTTTAATGTGATGCTCAAAACGACTTACTTATGTTGAGATTTAATATTGAAAAAATCGTTTTCGATTGTACCATTTTTTTTTAGACAGGCTGTAGTATTTAAAATTTCGTGTAAGTTGTATCACGGTAAGGCGTGGTAAACGGAAGGACACTGGAACATCTTCAGTCGAATATGAAGCCACTTGGTCTGCCTCAAATTATGAATCCTCCCTCAACTACCAACCTCTAACTCCTACATGGTCCTACAGAACTTTAATTCCAGAGAGGAACCCGGGTAGCGGAGAACGGATCCCGAATGATGAGGCACGGTGACAGAATAAACCACGGAGTGAAACTTATTTTTCTGAGGGGGCACTCAATAGTTTTGGAAATATAAAGCTCATTTTTGTCTTCCACAAAACCTGAGGGGGGGGGTACCCCCCCCCCCCGAGTGTCCATTTACCCTATATACACTCTAGACAATTGTTACCCAACATATCCCCTAGATATCTCAAAAGAACTCCTGAGATCTGGGGAACACACTGACCAACACAGACGAGGGGAGGGGATAGGGTTCCCCTCTGTCGCAAATCTTGCTTCAAATATTTCATCAAACTCTTCTGTCAATCCATAATAATTAGGGGAAACCTTGAAAATGTACACAAAAAAACACAAACGGTGAATCAGAATGGAAATACCATAAAAGGATTTTTTTCCCATCGAATATTTGTTCTTTGTACAGACTCACTTGTGAGTAGTTCAAATTAAAACGGAAAAAAATAATCTCGAAAATGACAAACACTGTGAAATATAACAAACTGTCTATTCAACATACTTGTTAATACGAAATGAAAAAAAATCATTCATGTCATTTTAATTAAATGGTAACTCACAAACCAAGGAATGAAAATACAAATTACACTATCAAGAATTCATGGGTTTTCAAAATGGGTGTACTATAAAGATAAAATTAACGGAAATTTACAGGCCACCATAGTAGTTTTCAATATCATTTACATTAAACAATGATGTTTTTTTTATTTTAGAAATTTATTATTAACGATCTATTTAACAATTTCTCGGCACGTTGCGAGATGGTACATATGACTTCACACGGTGTTATGTAATGCCCAAAGTTTGTAAAAAAAAAAATATGATATCCTGTTATTTAATAAATATGTAGCTGATGGGGTTCTAGCAGAAGCACGCAAACAGAAACAATTTGGTCAACATTTCTTATGAGCTTACTCAAAAGATATGCGGACTGAGGCTTGGGTGAAGATTAAAAGGCAAATTCATGATTGGGAGCACGTCCATGCACAGCCAATCAGAGGTTCAGGCTTCTGTCATGTGATATTTTAAACAAATTGTATTATTTTAACCACAGAAGAGCCGATTCAGCAAGTGTATTTTTTTACTTAAACTATTAACTCCGACCCTGAGCCGTTGTGCTAGGAACCTTAAAATATCCATCCAAAATCCAACATTGTTCTTTTAACAAAACTTTGACACCTAACCACTTATGTATCCATTACAATTAAAACGGTTCAAGTTAATGTTGTAAAGGTAAAGTAGTACATTAAAGCTCTTTGGAACCAAATGTACTTTTCTCGATCTCCATGTTCCTATAAATATCTAAGAAAACCTGGAAAACCCTGAGGCACTTTTCGACCGAACGGCGAACACCCCCTAACGAGAGAAAAGTACACCAAATACACTGGGCCGATAATCCGATCTTCCCCGTTTTTCGGGCGATCGAACACATACTAAGCAGTGTGTACACAGGCCGGACATAGGGGTGAGAACTGTTTCTGTAAAATTTTGCAGTTCAGAGGAGAAACAACCAAATAGATTTGTTCTTTTCTTCTTTTTCAGGAAATGTCAGTCAAAAGCATCAATCACTTTTTGGTGACAGGTCGTACAATTAGCCTTGGAGTCTACAGCAAAGCAACAATAACAGCAGTTTTTTTCTTTTCTTTTGTGATGTTCAGGGACTACAGAGAAGCTATTAAACTTTCTTGTGAATAAAAAGTAAAAAGAAGTGTTGTGTCACGACTGAAAGCATTTTATAAATCTCTGCTACACATGTCTCAATTTATTAGAAATCTGCAAAATGGGCGAGGAAAATTATGCATAACCAAAGAAGAAAAAAATCAGAAGTTTGTTTGGCATGAAAACTCTGAAGAAACTTCATCTAACAGCCGAAGGCACTTCAACATTTCGCATGAATCTTTAAATAAAAAAATTGATGGACTAAGTGTCGTATTAAGACCTCAGTGAATATTTTCAATTTTAATTGATGATTCACACACTTTATATATCTAACTTTCACTTTTTAACATGATTTCAGTAACATCATGCGGAATACATGTAATGCACTACTTAAAATTTACACATGTGCACTCACGCATGTTTACGTTACATACCAAGTGTGGACATTTCCTTGGTTTTGTGTAGTTAAGAAAAACCAGTGAAAAAAAAAAATCATTTTTCTCAAACTGTGAAAACTCTTTCAACCCAATTTGTTTCTAAGATCCCCTTTCGTGTTTCTCTTCATTTTGCCACAGATAAACCTAACCCCAAAATGCCTCTAAACCTGTTTTTCAGAAATGGGGAAACACTGTGTGGACTTGCCCAAGTCCACACAACGTCGCCTCTACCTGGTTTATGTGGACCTCTTTTGTTTGGAAGTCCACACAGTGAATGTAATGCACACTCACTCTACCACTCAAAAGAAAGGAGCCTAGGTTGAGCCTCAATTAAAGAGGGCGCTGTTTTCAACATGCAGTAAAATCCTTCAACAGTATTCAAAAAACCTTTTACAGGAATAGTCTTCTTTTTATACTGCAAGTCTGTCACAGATTACACAAGTTTAATAAATTTTCAGTACACTTTTATCACATTTGCATTGCACTCTGGGTATGAACAAAAAGAAAAACAACAGCTGTGTCTATGAATTCATGGCAACATCAACATGATTGAACACCAAATGTGATGCAATCAAGCTAAATGAGTCGTTTGTCGGGGAACTTTCATTTGGAAATTCAGGCCAAAATAGGGCCACTTCATCACATCACTTCATCACATCACTTCATCACATCTCCCGGTGTTTCGACTTCCATAATTTTTGAACTAAAGATGGTACCAGCATGCGGTTTTCTCAGCAGTAATGCTGAGATTGTGTTCTTTTCAAATCTGAAAAAAAAAAATTGACCAGGGTCGACAAACGACTCATTTAGCTTGATCGCATCACAAATCTGACTGAAACATGAAGACATTATCTGCGACCAACTCCTTGGCCAAGACTACCACTGTCCAGTGATACCCTAAATCACTGGTAAAAGAAGAGCGGGCAAAGAAGAATGAAAAGGTGGTATTGAATCTATGGGAAACAACAAAATAAATGTGACCGCCTGCTGAACAATCTATGTTTGCATTTTGCTTTGCTATTTGTCATTTACGTCTAGAATGCAATGTGAATACTGAACAATTATTGGGTTTGAGAAAGTCCTGCCTAGCTCCAGTATGTGCATAGTTACAAAAATAATCTTATTTACAGACAGTTCATAAGACAAGCATCAACTATCCTCAGGCCGACTTTTTGGACGGTACACAAGACCGTTTTCCCTGAGATGTTCCTTGCTGTGATGGACGGCAGCACCGTGGTCTAGCTGGAACTGGCACAGCGCCCTCAAGGGTCGAAGTAGAGTCTGGTGAAATAAACACAAAAGAAATTCTGAAACGAGAATTTTAACCCTCCTAGTCTGCTGCACTTCAGAACCCTCAAGTTTTGCAAAACCAATTTTGCCCACGGAGTTACCAAATCCACACATCCTTGGAGGTAATGTTCTGTGGAGTATGGATAGCACTTCATATTCAATTCCCTGCACAATTCTTTTGTGTGGTTAAGCTCAGGGCAAGCAGGCAGATTCAGTCACAATTTACTGCTCTCCTAGTGCTGGCTGATTGTCTCCAGTGACTCTCTGTGTGATCCAGTTACTTTTACACTTTGTATCCCTTCACTTAAAACTGGCCTGCAGCGTTTGGAGGGTTTTACATACTGCTCTGAAGATTGACTTCTGTGCCAACCGGAACGTGTTAAGACGTTCATTGTGCAGCCAATCAGCGTGCAGCAAAAATATCCAAATAAACATACGTAGCTGTGAAAGATCGTCTGATTGTTATCAACATGCGCACTGCCATTTTAAAGAAGTTACATGATCACGTCTGTGCTTCGGACTCGTGGTCGCGTCGTGGGTGACATGAGCATGGTTGCGATTATACTGTGTCAAGGTGTCGCTTGTTCCGTGATAATCACACGATTTCTCAGTTGTGTGACCCGAGAATGACTTTTCTGCTTGATGCCGACGGTTCCGTCACGGCGCAAGCAAATCACAGGTGGACCCGAGGGCAGCTTAAAGGTACAGTCCATCATTTGTAATTTGTGCATTATGTTAGTTTGAAGAAACAAAAGTGCTGAAAATCTAATGAAGGGTGCTAAACAACTAACCCAATGAAGTTGTAGCTGAGTATATGCTGCATATTCCGAGAAAACAATTTTCTAGGATCTTGATTTCAAATCAAAAGTTGCAGAGTCATGTTTTGAATTGCGCCCAAATTCAGCGTCCAGGACACGTTCTCTTTCAGCCGATTGCAACTACGCGATGTCGAGCACTGAACCGACGAATTATAACAACTGCACGCACGTGTGCGTCGTGTCATCGGTTGCACGCGCTTCGTCGAACTAAAAACGAACTAATAACGGAAATTTCCAATGATGCATCTTTAGGCGCATCGTTGGAAAGGCCTTCTTTCATTGTTTTCTTCAAAATGACAGCTTGCCAGAAAGAATCATTTCACAGGGAGTTTAGTCCCATTATTATCTTTAAACCAAGTATGCTTTTCAACAATAATTAGGTCAGTTACTTTTTGGATAGCTGCAAATGATAGACTGTAGCTTTAAAAGAGATGAAAGATAACACAGACATTTCGTTTTCCACAGTTCACTTGAAAAGCTAGGTAATGACTTCGAGTTGGGTGACTTGTGATAGCCTTGACTACAACAATGCTTTACAATCCGACAGAGACAACATTCCACTCACAACGGCTTTTGTCAGAATTTTGTGAACATTTTAAGGACAAAACCCACTATTAAAAAATATATCCTCACCTCCTGAATTTCCGGTCTCTTCTCCAGTATTGCCAGAGACACAGCGACTGATTCCACAGTGGACAAGCAGCTATTGGTGGGCTGGGTGCGAATTACGTACTCACTCAAAACACCATTGCACAATTGAACCTGTTAGGTGTAAGGATTGTTAAGGATTATATAGTCGTGTTCCCTAACGTGGCGCACTTCGAAGCTTACCGAACTTTCTTTGTGTAGTGTTGCCAAACCTCTTTGTTGACAAACCTCAAATTCATGCAGTGAAAAACTAGTACTTTTACCTTATTAATGCTTGCTATTTAACCTCTGTGAACAATTTCGGTTTCATTAAATTTAATCCAAAATTCAAAAACGGCGGCGTCCGGAAATTGGGCACAAATTGGCGAAGTGTTCCCTAACGTGGCGCACTTAAACAAATCTCAGAAAATTCCAAATTTACATCTAAGAAATTCTGAAAACTTGATAAATTCTGATAAATCATTATTATCTCTACTTACAAAACCAGCCAGATGTTTGTCAGAAAATTATTTTCTTATTTTTCGGGGCATTTTCAAAGGGTTCACTTTGCACGCCAAAATAAATTTTTCTTCTAACTTTGTAACGGGTAAAGAAACTCGCGATTTATGAACGGGAGTGTTTAAAACTTGATGAAATTTCACTTTCTGTAAAATTTCAGTTAAAACTTTTGCTCTAGCTAGGCGCTACAGGCGAAAAATCAAAGTGCGCCACGTTGGGGGCCGTGCCACGTTAGGGTACATCACCAATACACTACAAACTGGTTGCCTCGATCTGAGGAGAAATAATTGTCAGGTCAGGGAACCAGACTAACTGGCTTGCACCCATTCACGGATGAGTAACTGATTGCAAACAAAATGTGGACTAACTAACTTTGGTCAATAGGGGGCAGTAATTGAAAAACATCAGTTTTTCCCAAAGATGGCTAGCCACCATCTTTGGAAGTTGATACAAAAATTCTACTTCTCTTGAAAATGACAGCACACCAGGTGCCATGATCTCATAGGATGCTTGAGACTATTATTTACTCACAGTCAAGTAAGGTATTTCACAATATTTTGTTAGTTTTGTTGTTTTGATGTTTGCACTTTTGATGTTTGCAAATGTTGTATATTACCTTTAAAGGTAATGATATATACAACATTTGGAAACACCAAAACACAAAACTACCACATTTTCACGAAATACCTTACCGGCCTGTTAGTGAATGACAGTCTTAAGCATCCTGTAAAATCATGGCACCTGGGCCCAATTTCACGGCGCTGCTTAACAGTTAGCAGAAAAGTTGTGCTTAGCATAGCAGAAAAATTAGCTAACCTTAAGCACTATTTCATGGCGTGGACGTGCTAACGGTCGCGCGTGCATGGAGATTTTTATGTTACGTCACTAAGTTAAGCAAATTTTTCCTGTGAAGTAAGCGTGCCTTTTGCTGTGCTTATGCTTACTGTCTCAATGAAATAGCCGGAGGCTCTGTTAATAGAAAATCGTGTGCTTAGCAGCGCCGTGAAATTGGGCCCTTGTGTGCCGTCATTTTTAAGAAAAGTGGTATTTTGGTATCAATTTCCAATACTGGTCGGCTGACCAGCATTGGAAAAACAACTGGCTTTTTAAAAATACTACCCCGAGATACCATATTTAGTTAGTCCGCTTTTTTTGCAATCGATGAAGGGGAACAAGCCAGCTAGCCTGGCTCCCTGACCTTAACAATTCCCTGACGTCTATAAATTGCTCCGTTTCATCTGAAGTGGGGTCAGGGAACCTGACTACAGGAACACGATTGTTTTTCTTATTTTTGTCAACATCTATACAAACACAAAACTTTAAACAGTGTAACAATATTTGCTGTAAAAAACACACCCCAAAATCCATCCATTTCTGAAAAATACGGCAATAGCAAATGTTGTATATTCCCTTTAAGTTTACTCTCTCAAACCACAATTTATTCGGGTTGAAATATGGTGGAAATATCTGGTTCGGTGCGACTCTAGAACGTGAGTCTGAACGGGTGTAAGCCCAACCAATCAAATCAAGTTCAAATCAACTGTTGAATATGCAAATTTAATAATATACATCAGAATCGTACAAACTGTTACCTGTCTTGGTTGACAAAACATCTGGTTACTTTTGTACATGCTCCTGGCCTGGTTCCAGGTCCCGTCAATCACAATCAGATTGTAGCCTGATTGGCTGTCGGGTGGAAGGGGCGGGACTTTGGAGATGTCTATAGCCTCTGGTCCCGGGAACAGCACTAAGGTGTTGGGGCTCCGGCAGACTGCCGTTAGTTCTGGGTGACTGTGGAAAGACAACAGTAATATATGCAAATGAATTGAACTTGATCTTTCATGTACTATTGCATTTCCTACACCTTTGCCAGGTCCTGTCAATCACAATCAGATTGTATCTTGATTGGCTGTCTGGTGGAAGGGGTGGGACTACACGAGAGTCTTTGGGGCCCCTGCTTACTGCAGTTAGTTCTGGGTGACTGGGGAAAGACAACGTTAATATATGCAAATGAATTAAACTTGATCTTTCATTTGCTATTGCATTTCCTACACATTTGCCAGATCCTGTCAATCAGAATCAGATTGTATCCTGATTGGCTGTCTGGTGGAAGGGGCGGGACTACACTAGGGTCTTTGGGTCTCCTGCAGACTGCAGTTAGTTCTGGGTGACTGAGGAAAGACAACAGTAATATATGCAAATGAATTGAACTTGTTCTTTCATTTGCTCTTGCATTTCCTACACCTTTGCCAGGTCATGTCAATCACAATCAAATTGTATTCCGATTGGCTGTCTGGTGGAAGGGGCGGGACCACACTAGGGTCTTTGGGGCCCCTGCTTACTGCAGTTAGTTCTGGGTGACTGGGGAAAGACAACAGTAATATATGCAAATGAATTGAACTTGCTCTTTGATTTGCTATTGCATTTCCTACACCTTTGCCAGGTCCTGTCAATCACAATCAAATTGTATCCTGATTGGCTGTCTGGTGGAAGGGGCGGGACCACACTAGGGTCTTTGGGTCTCTGGCAGACTGCAGTTAGTTCTGGGTGACTGGGGAAAGATAACAGTAATATATGCAAATGAATTGAACTTGATCTTTCATTTGCTCTTGCATTCCTACACCTTTGCCAGATCCTGTCAATCACAATCAGATTGTATCCCGATTGGCTGTCTGGTGGAAGGGGCGGGACCACACTAGGGTCTTTGGGTCTCCTGCAGACTGCAGTTAGTTCTGAATGACTTAGGGAAAGACGAGGGCAAATTAATTACATTAAAGATAGATATATCATTTGTCATTTGTGTATTTTTTTGTTTGAAGCACCAAAAGTGCTCAAAATCTAAAGAAGGGTGCTTGTTGCTCAACAACTAACCCGATAAAGTTTAGCTTAGTGAATGCTGTATATTCCGAGAAACAATATTTTGGATCTCGATTTCCATTCAAAAGTTGCTGAGTCATGCTTTGAATTGCGCCCGAAATCAGCGTCTGGGACACGTTCTCATTCAGTCAATTGCAGCTACTCGGTGTCACGCACTGAACCCATGAATTACAGCAATTACAAAGTAATGCCTGCTGGGCGCATCCATGTTTGTGCACAAACCTATGGAGACCTCGAAATTTTGTATAGCTTTTGTACGGTTATTTGCATGTCTGCGTTTGTATTCCATACCGGTGCGTTATCGAAGCCAATACGCCCAAACCCGAAACGCACGATCAGCAAATGAGCGTGTTATTTTACTCTACGCAAACAGCGCAACACGTATGCGTATTCGCTGCAGATGCTTTTTGCCGTCATGTTTTTTTAACCGTCAATGACGCGCTTAAGTTGTTTGCGTATGTTCTACTTGCGCGTTGCATGTAGAATACACTTTCAAAATTCAATCCATCTAATTTCATTATGTTCTACAAACACGCGCATGAATTCACAATGTCTGCGCCCAGGACAGCTTCAAAGCGTCTCCGCGCGCAGAATGACGAGTTAGCGCTCTAGTAATTTAATATAGCTCTATGATTCTACTCCACACTAGGAACCCGAGTGCAGAAAAACAAGCAAACAAACTAAGTAACAGGTTCTCTTCCGAACCACACATACTCACAAAAGAGATATTTCCACATGGTGTTACCGCAAACCTCTCACTTACTGATCTTTCCACCATGCAAACCTTTGAGTCTCATTTAAACTAAGTAAAGTAAGGCTACTTGAATTCATTCTTTGGTGAAATAAACTGGAAGAAAACACCATTTTGATTTGAATGACTCCAGCTTGGCTGCTTATGCACCTCTTGCTCTTTCAGAAATCTGACAGAATTTTGTTGCAGGAGAATATTGGCATGATTTTGTTATGCATGTTTTGTTCATCTGCACATGAGTCCCAGTTTGGTCTAAACTCGCTTTCGTGGCTTCTGGACTCTAACATTACCCAACTTCACTGAAGCGTCTTCCTCGAATGACACAGCACTTGCCCTGCTGTAAGCAGTTGAACAGTATGGGCACCGTGCGTAATGACCGGCTCTCCTCATTCGGGTGCTGGATCACGTAGACACACGTCGAGGTGTCCAGGGGTTTCTCTGGGAAGTATGGGCAGAGGCACACTTTGGCTGGTCGCCTGGTTGATTGAAAACAAACTCAAATTAGGCATAATCATGCCTCATCTCAATTAAATTATGGGTTTTAATAATATATATGGGGGAAAGATTTCCATATACGAAGTTCACTCAACACCCTGTGTACAAACCCTATGAGATTGGACTGAAAAATTCTAAGTGTTTTCTAAGAAAATGCTTGTAATTTCTCACTGCTCAAATCGACTTTGATGACATGAAATTGCTATCTGGGGGTTTGTTAGTCAATACAGAGGAAAATTTGTGAACTTAGTATATGGAAATCTTTCCTATATGGGTGATAATATTAATAGATGAATAATTAGGCCCCCCCAAAAATAGTTCTGCTTCCGATTACATGACATTTGAAAATAGGGTAGGTAGGTAGGGAAATTTGCCATCACTAATTTGGTAATCCTTACTTTTAGGACCCCGTTCTATATAGGAAGGGAAAGACTCACCAAAACAGTTGACTAAATGACACTCAAAATTGACATTCTGATACTTCTTGGCACATCTGAACAATTGGCAATGACACCTTCTTGAATATCAGCAGGTTCAATTTTGTGGAAAGAGGGCAGGGCTTTGATTTATGAGGGAAATTCAGGGGTAAAAGACGACGATGACAACCAGAAAACAGACTCAAAAACCAAGATGGCAAACGTGAAAGCTAGATGCGATGAAAGCTCAAATGCTGATTGGCTGATAAAAAATTAACATCTTATTATTTTTAGTCTGGTTCCCAGACCAAAAGATTCAGGAATAGTAAGAATCTTTTGGTCTGAGAACCAGACTAACTTATTTATTTTTAGTCTGGGTCCCAGACCCAAAAGATTCAGGAGTAGTCAGAATCCTTTGGTCTGGGAACCAGACTAATTTTTTTTTTAGCAGCCAATCAGCATCGGGCTTTCATTATGTAGGGCTTTCATGCGTGTGAGAACTACAACATGCACGTCTGACTGCGAAAAAAGGTAGGAAAGTCACATTTTCTTCGAAAGTGCTTTCAAAACTTTATTTTTATATGAAGAAAAAAGACTGCTTTAGGCCCCCCCAAAAAAGTCTCCGGTTTCTGGTATGGAGCTTGTCCAAAAAGTGGTGCGGCGACACGGCTTTTTTTTTTTTTTACCCGACTTTTTTGCTTCAAATTTGCTTCAAATGTCGGCTGATGACTGCAAATGGTGCCCGACTAAACTTAGTGCAAATATATGGGAGTCCAGAGAGGCCACATCAAGCTTATTCTCGATCATAACCCCATCTAAAAACACGTTGAAATTGCGCAGCAGCAGAATTCCAGTCAAACCAGTGAGTTTGGCGGTTTTGAGACATCATCTTTCATTGAAAAAAAAACTTTTTTATTTTGCCGACGCGCATGGCTACGGCGACGCGCGCGCATACCAGAAACCGGAGACTTTTTTTTTTTGGCCTTAGCCTGCAAAAGTCACTTTGGTACTGGACAGTCATCTGCAAAAGTCAGTTTTGAACAGAACTTGTAAAAAATAGAGGTGTCTTAAAAGTAAGGATTACCACTAATTTTTCCCTTCAGTAACCTATCAGCCATCAGAAAGTGATAATATGCCTTAACTTAAAACGAAGTGGCTATCGTTACGGCAGTCGTTGTTTAGCGCCCTCTACGATACTTTTTTGATACGCACGCAGGTATATAATTATTTGTTTCCCCACGTTTTAGCTAGTGCGATAGCTCAGTCGATAGAGGGTAGGATTTTGCACCGCGAGGTTGCGAGTTCGAATCTCAGTTTTGCAAACGAATTTTTTTCCTTTTCTAACCTGAGGCTTTGAAGGATTTTTTTAAAAGGGAAATAAAGTCCGAATTTCATAACATTCAAATTCACTTTTTTCCTGCTAATTTTGTATTTTCTTGTCATATTTTTATAAAAGTTGCAGTCTACCGTAACGATAGAAAATGGGAAATGCGTTACAGCTGCCGTAACAATAGCCACTGCGAACTTAAAAAGTTAAAAAGTAAAATTTAGCTGGGGAAATATTGAAGTTTTTTACCAAAAATTCCAATTTTCAGACCAGTCCCAAACTCCCATAGGGTTTGTGCACAGGGTGACAAGTGATGGCCAGATATGGGAATCTTTCCAAAGAAACTCTGAGTGCCCCCCCCCCCCCCCGCCTCCCCAGTATTGAATTGAGTACTATTGGGATCATCATCAACTTTGGAATGTTCCAACTATTAACTAACCCACAACGGCCACACATGCTCCGCTTGGAAGGAGGATCTGGCGGTGTTGCCGTCATATCAGTCAATATCTCCTTCGTGTCGGAACTATCGTCATCCTCATTGTCAAAAACACTTTCCTCTCGACTTTTGTCCCTTGCTTCGTTTGCCGGATTCGCCATGTTTTGATTTTTTGCCAATCATGTGCAATGAAACCGCACGTCTTCCACCCAGTGTCTCCTTCACTATCTGCTGCACATGTCTAGAGCAGGGTAGCAGACTACAGATGCAGGACCGCTTTTTGTCGTTGGCGCCCTCAAGAGGTATGAGCAACCCGAAGCATGCAGGGTGACCGTTTTAGCCGATTTTCGGCTAACTTTAACAGAATTTTTGTTAAAAAACGAGTCCGACAGAAAATTTAGAATGTTTTTTTTTTCGGCAGATTTTTGGCAGAATTCTGCAAAAATAGTTATTTGACAGAAAAACAGCAAATTGAACAAAAAAGTGTACATTTGTTTAAAAAAGCTTCAATCATTTTTCAAACAAACCCTTGCATAATGGGACAGGTTGGCTGATCTAGGTGCTGAGGTTCACTGGGAAACGGACTTTGTTATGGCGGATCCGCATTTTGCCCGAAATTTACCAATAATTTCACATCATCTTTATGCAACTAGATTGTTTATTATGTAATTTGAATTTTAATTAAAGGCAATACTACAAATCTGCATGTGATTTTAAGTGTTTATAGTGTATTTCGAGTAATTCTGGGGAATTTGGCAGAATTTTGATAAATCTGACAGATTTTTGATGTGCACTTAGCAGAACTTGGCTCTGACCTTACGGTCACCTTGGAAGCATGGGAAAGTGGCTGAGCCATGCCGCGGGTAAAAATATAAAATGCAGAGTGCATTAACATTGAAATTTATTTTGGTTTGGTTGGGTTGGGGAAAAAGTCATGGATTGATTCAATGTAAAAAAGTGGCTTCTCAAAAATAATTTGAGATTCAGAATCAAATCTTGTTTAAAAAGTCCAGTTTTGGGTTATTTGAATTCCAGTTTGAAGTTGGCCTGCATTGCTGTTTTGGCCTTGGACTATCAAATTCACACAACTACTCCTATAGACTCCATGCACAAGTCCCCGAACCCAACTGAAAAGAAGCGACGCCTTGGGCAGTTGATATTCTCACATATTCTTTCCAGGCCACTATAAATGGTTGTAGACCATGCACACCTCGTAGCCTATCATTTGCATGCCATTCAGTGTGTGTTTGCGGTGGCATTCCTGATCCTTGCCTTCCACTTCTATGGTCTGGGTACTATAGACCTTTATCATGCTGCCACCATTTCAGTCACGTTCCCTGTATCCAACAGTACCGAACGATGATTTTTGTGCAAAAAAAGGAACCAGACTATTTTTCCTTTGCACCTCGCATTGGTTACGTTGATTTGAATTGGGAAAAAAATCAAGATAGCCTTAACATAACGGTCTATTCCTGCCCTGGTCCACATGTGGTGTTTTCAGTCCCCACCTGATTCTGTGGGTTTTCCTCCCACCTTTAGCTCCAATTTCTTCTCATCCTCTTCTCTCTACATGTTTCTCCAGGCTTGCAAGCCACAGTTGCTGCCTAGGTGCTTTTGAGGAGTCCTTGGTTTCACGACCAGAAAATAAACAATACAACCCAGACTCTTGCACGGTGCCAACACCCATCCCTCTGGCAAGACAACGTTGGAAACTGTTCCGTTTTGGTAATGCTCTTTCACGCAATGTCACCATTTCATTTAAATTCAATAATACTGTAAATAATACACAGATCAATCCAATAAAAACAAACACAGGATTCATTGTCTGTACTTTTATAGTTTCTGATCTTTATTAACACCACTCATCATCCTTTTTTTTTTATGAAAGCAACCCCCCTTTGCGAGTGTTTCCCAAAGTTGTTTTATATTCAGACTCGTTCCGTTCTCTGTTTCCTGGGTCTATTCCCGACCCATCATCTTCTGGCGAGCCATCTTCTTCTTGGACACTTTCTTTGTCTTCTTCTCCGCCTCGTCGGGTTTGGGCACGACCTGCTCCCTCTCGGACAGGATGACCTCGATGTGGCAGGGGGAACTCATGTAAGCTGCGCACAGAACAAAATAAAAAGAATTACAAATAAATCATCAACCCACAAAGGGAAGCTGACTGGGTGCACGTATCGTCGTGTAGGTGCAACAAAGTCGTATCTCCTAAAACAGCGTTTACGTGAGTTTTAGAATGACAAAAGGTCGTATCTTGCTTATAAAACCCGGATGTACACATAAAGTCAATGGACGTCGAAATACAACGTTGTTGCATGGAGCATATTCCCGCGAGATACGACTTTGTTGCAGAATCAAGTTACGACTTTGTTGCACTGACATGACGATATAATCAGTTTAAGGTTAAAAAACGATATTGACTAGAGCAAGTTTTGAACCTGCAAGCAACCTGCACCATAACGGCGCTCTACCAACTGAACTGTCCGGCTTAATGTCTTTGTTTAGAGGGCGCTAGTTCGGACCAGCTCTGGCTATTTCTGACATGAGGCTTGATAGCTATGTTGGTGGAGCTCCAGTGCAGTGTTCCAGAGGTCATAGGTTCCATCCCTTCTCAAATCAATTACAGTGGGACGTCGCTATAACGAACATCGCAGGATCCACAGAAAACGTTTGCATTCAAAATTCTTCTCTTTCATTGTCTGAAAAATTAGTCAGTAATTTGTGAAGTTGGTTATACAGGTACCCGATGCCATAATCTGAAACCGGTTCCTGACATCAATAGTCGGGTACTGATGCACACCCCTTCTGAAATGTTTGGAATCTTAACCCAAAAAAAGAGTGGACATCCTACACACATTAGACTTCAACAAGCAGATCTCAATACCAATAGTTAACAAGTACCCAAGACCTCATCAAAATTTGCGTCTTAATCATTTAACAGGACAAAATTTCAACAAAAAAACCTCTTGTTGACATTGTGCATTTTATTGAGCTTTTTGAGGAAATACTTCACTCACGGTTGATGCGGCCGTGAGCACGGTAGGTCCTACGTCTCATCTTAGGGGCAGCGTTGACCTGGATGTGGTCAATCACCAAGGAGTCTGCGTCTAGACCCTGGAAGGTGGGAGGGATAGAAAAAGAGCAAAAGTGTTAATACATTAAGCCTAGCCCTGCCATGTGCAACACCTTGCAACCGGTTTAAAAATCTGTGTGACCTTGTTGCTTTTAGCCCTCAACACCAGTGCATAAAGTGCCAATTCTGAGACAATGGGAGCTATATGTAGTCCTATGATCAGACCTCACAGGCTCACAAGTCCGATTTACACATACATATAATGTACAGTACATACTTCCACCGTAACTCGCTCTGCCCGGCTAAATGGACACGTTATTTGGCAAAGTTTCCTTCTTTAGTCTAATTTAGTCTAATGGTGTATTTTTGAAGTAAAAAAAATCATCATTTTACCAAGATTTTATATTGTTCTTTCCTAAAAGTGTCTGTTCTATTGATAAACCTAACAATAAACCATGGACTGGCTGAACAAAAGTTTGTGATTAACGGAGGTACCGCAGGGTTCTCCCCAGGATTTTTTCAAACCTGTGGGGGAAGTTTTGCTGTGATTCACCAACCTGCGAAGCTACGGCGTGGGGTTCGGGTCCCGCTTAAGGGCCCCGAAAAATTTTGAACTTTAGAGGCTCTCTGGTGCATTTTAGAGCAAGTCTGGTGAGTCTTTAACCCCTTAAGGACGGGGTGTAATGGGGACATTCCTCCACACATAGAGCAAGTGGCCCGCATGACTGCACAACCTTTGTGTGGTAGCGGGACTGCACAAAAGCAGCAGCTGTGGAACTACCCCCTAGCTGTGTGCCACGGCATACCACAGCTGGCAACTGCATTCCAATGAGGATTAGTGGCGCGGCCATGACCGCTTCCCATACGCATGGGGTTAAGGAAGATTTTTTCTTAAAATTTAGAAGAGATCTTGTAATATTTTTTGTAATTAAAGAAAAAATTTATCAAAATTTTTAACTTTAAAAAAAATCAACATTTCAAAACCTGTGTTAAAACTTCATGATCTAGAAAGTATGGATTATATTTACAATATAGTGGGGAGAACCCTGTACCGGTGTGGGTATTTCGAGCTTTGGGGGGTATTTATGTACATAACATCCTATTCTCTTGATGGGGATGGGGTATTACTTCAAGACAGAGTTTCAAGGTATCCCACTTTGTGGTAACGAAGTTTACTGTAGTAAGGTTTTGGCCCCCTCAAGGAATGCAAACATCTCCTAAGCACCGACTGTATCCGCTAGATGACTGTCATCCAACCATTAGGAGATATGCTGGGATTACTTTTACAAAAGGAAAAGGTCTGTCCTGAAACTGGAAAATTTCTCAGGGGAGAAAAGAGGACCTTATTACCTTGAGTTCAGCGTTGCTCTCTGCGTTCTTGAGCAGCTGCAGCATGAACTCGGCGCTTTTCTTGGGCCAGCGACCTTGTGTGGTGTTCCATGCCTTGGCCTAATAGTCCATGAAAAAAACAAAAACATTGTAAATTATAATTTTTTTTTGCAAACTAAAACATGAATACATTTATATTACAGGTGAAGTATATAACACGATTGAAACTAACAATAGAACAAATTTTGATTTATTTGAAAAAAGTGTACACAGAAATATGCTGAAAGAAGTAATTACGGCTGATTGATGTTAAGACAGGCATTTAAAGGATCCATGACATGAATTTTCCGGGGGGGGGGGGGGGGGGTGTACCATATTTTCAATGGGGAATGCTGATAAACTCCTACAATAGTGCACACTATATTACCTAATAGTGTACAAATGCCCCCTTCTCACGACTCCATTTTTTAGGGGGGGGGGGGGAGGGGGAAACCGTTCGCATGTGACGTCACCTTTTAACATTTGCTAATGTCATTTTATTTTTAGAGGAATTTTTTTTGGGGAATGGTTAGACAAAAGGTTTTTTTGGGGGGGGGGTTCCAGCCCCCCCCCCTGCCCCCCCCCCCCCAACCCGTAGAACCGCACTGGGGACAAAGAACAACAAAATTGGGAGTTGGACAACTGAAGATATGTTTACCTGAGCCTTGCGACCGACTCCACCATTGAACCTCCTGTAGGGAACACACTGCTTCTTCTTGGTGACGTCGTTCAGGAAGCGCACTGCCTTCCGCAGGTGCATGTGCTTGATGACAGCGGCTGTCTCCCGAGTGTTCTGGTTAAAGATGAAAATCAACAGGGAAATTGAAACAGGTCTATTTTATGGCCCAGCGGTAGGTCCCACATTTTGAAGAAATATCAGTTTTTGAAGTTGAACATTGAGATTTCCCCAAAATCCATGTTCCAGCAGACTTCAGATATTAGTGAGGCGATAATGAATTTGTCTGTAGCTTTTGCAATCATTTCAACAACCGTGCTCTCAATTTAACAGTTCACACCTTCGTGGGAATGAGATTGAACACAGTAGTAAATAATATAAATCAAAGATGAACAAACTGAGAAAGAGTCCCTTACCTTAAAATGCACTCGAAGATAGGAGCCACGCGCCTTGCATGCTGTAACAGATGGGAAAAAGGTTTGTGTCAATGTTCATTTTTTTTTTTTTTACTTTAGTCAAATAACTTTCTCCCTTAATGATTTCCACATACTTCTAGAACTAGAAAGCATCCGTGTGCCTTCTAGCACAATCACTTTTTGGATTCGCCGTTATTGCTTTTTGAACGGATTTCGAATCCTCCGTGGTTAGACGAACTACTTGCATCTGGAATTCTACTTTCTCACACAACCACCTCTCCAAAACGCAGCCCTGAATGAAACCATATTTGTTAAACTTTTAGAACAATGGTTTATTAGTTTGCAAAATGGAGTGGAGTGCCGTGGCCTAGTGGTCTGGAGCATTGAATTTGTTGTCTGCTGGTAATTCTGAGGGTTGTGGGTTCGAGTCCAGCCCTGGGTTATGGTGCGTGTGCCCTTGAACAAGGCACTTTGTCACTCATTGCTTCTCTCCACCCAGGAGTAGATGGGTACCTGTGAGGGCAGTGTTGGTTACTGTGCGAGATTGATTACGGCCAAGAGCGCCGAAATGGCTGCCTACCGGCCGTGTATGCTCCCCAGGGAGTTGAGAAGGTTTCAGGAGTGTTTGCCCGTTGAACAGGGGTAGTAATAATTGTGAAGCGCTTTTCTCATCAACATCGGATTTTCGACTCAACAAAGGTTTCGCCTGTAAAGAGCATAGCATAGCCCATGAGGAGAAATTATCTTCTTTGAAGCACGCACAGCGGTGATATTGCGAACCTGCACTATGGATTCTATGACGAAGGCCAAAATACTTACACTTCGTGGCGTTGTCCGGCTCCTGTGAATAGCGTGTCATGTTGTCAACGCCTGAAAGTTTAAAAAACAAAATTAAGATATGAGCATTCCAGTGATTCACAGTGATCGCCATTTTTATTTTCATGTTGCATCATTGTTTTACCCTAAAAATGTCCCTTAAATTTTTAAGAGTGGTCTGAAAAGCTAGAGCCCCTTAAATCAGTCTAAAGTTGAGCTTGTTTTGACCCGTTTTGAGATTGACTAGGCCTATTTCGGCTTAAAAGTATGCAATTGTTTTTTTACCTGATTTGAGAGACATAGGTCCTATGAAACTTATGACAATCAGTGAACATGACTTATAATTTATGAGGAAATCACAACGCAATAACTTCTGATATCAGCATGAACCCGAAGACATGGCAGAGCGAACACTTGGCAACCTAGTCCAAGAAACAATGTTGCGCACTGTTGCGTGACTGGTGCGCAGATCAATGCGTGCCGGTCATCATGGTCATGCCAGTTCGTCCCACACACGGTCCATATGTTTATCATGTAGGCCTAGGCCTACAGTTTTTACAAAGACTACACTACAGGCCCAATTTCAGTAATCATTAATCATGTTAATTTAGTATTAATAAATAATAAAAATAATATTGTTGGGGCCTATTCACGGCGATCGTTTAGTGTAGGGCCCGGTTCCTATAGTATAATAAGGGAACAAAATCCACTTTAAAATTATTGGACCTAGGCCTACCAAACTAGTTGGCGACATTCTCAATAAACAGGTATGTCATAGATAAAGGGCATGGATTTGATTTTTTCAGGGAAATTTGGGAATAAAATGACGATGACAGCGCGGCGACAACACGCGACCCGAAAATAAAGACGGCGATCACTGTGCGCGATGTACCGTGAGCACGCACGGCACGCTGAATCGCAAGGCACAAACCGCACAGGAAAATCGTGATTTCTACCCCAAGAATCTGTTCAAAATTGCGAAACGGGTGTCATAAGAATTGAGAAAGTCGGCTTTTGATTGTAGGCCTGGCTAAAGTGATTTTAAATTTTGAGCAATAAAAAAACATTTTTGACTCTAATTTCATTAACCCTAACCCTCCAGGGTATTTTGGCTAGAAACCCTGCCAAACGCAGCAACATGCAACACTTGTCTAAGTGACAAGCCTGCCCAGTGTAGCAAGATCCATCAGGTCAAAAGTCTCAAGGCCAAACTGCCTCAGAGTCTGTGGTCACCCACTGCAGCAGGATACAACTCGGGCATTGTTCCATGGAACTAGCTCTCAGTGTCTCAGAAGTGGCCGGTTTCTGCACTGGTGTTGGTAGCATTTTCCATCAAAGTGCACCAGACTTTTCCACCTGATGCACTGTCAGACTGTGCTGCGTCTGGCAGGGTTAGGGTTAAAAAAAAATTAAAAAACAGGGGCCTACACTTCACAAAATAAATATTCCGTCCAAAAAGCACTAACATATTTTATGTGCAGCCCTAAAATCAACAAAAGTAACAAATTTAACGGTGACATTATTACATCACAACACTAAACAGTGAGTTTCCACTTCCAGTCCAGTAATGGCAGTGTGTGTACGTGTCTGCTTGTTTTATCGCATGGAAAGGGTCTCATTGTATGTCATTCAAAAACAGAGAAATAATGAACATTTCGACATTAAATTTCACAAACGGAATTCCCCAAGTTTCATGATCAATTTAAATGTCACAAATCTGTGAAAAATATAAAGAGATCCAAAGATGATTTGGATTTTCTTTGGTTCTTTCTCCCTTGAAATTTCACCTCTACAGAACAAGCAGACCAAAAGAGGCAGGTTATTCTCTTTTCTTAGACTGGTGCCCGGCCCTTCGATAACATGACAATCGGGGTTACGTTTGGGGCGGCGGAGGCCAGTCTGCCTAGCTGGGTGGCCGATGCTCGGTAGAGGGCGTTCTAAAGCGCTAGCAGTTCATGCAGTGCACGCAATAAAAAAAAACGAGGTCGCCACAGCTTTTCCACTGTCTAGGACATAAATCTCAGTGCAATGAGAAATTTGAGTTTAATTTAAAACTAAGGCAGGTTTGTAAATAAAGTGGACGGATCATTGCAAAAATAAAGTTTCCACAAACATTGGAAATAATTCCTGCCCAACGTTTTTCAGAAAATGAGATTTCTCAGAATGTTGGGAAAATGTCCTACCCAACAGAGTGGATGGGCAAAGTAAATGCCTGAAAATGGTTGAATATTGTTACAACTGATAATGTAGTAACCAACGGATAATGTATCACCAACCGATAATGTCAAACAAATTGACCGATACTGTATCACTAACCGATAATGTAACAGAAATTGACCGATAGTGTAGTAAAAATGCACTACACTATCAGTCGATTGTTGTTACATTATCGGTCTTAACCGATAATGTAACAAATATTGACCGATAGTGTAGTAACATTTACTACACTATCGGTCAATTTCTGTTACATTATCGGTTAGTGATACAGTATCGGTCAATTTGTGTGACATTATCGGTTGGTGATACATTATCAGTTGGTTACTACATTATCAGTTGTAACAAATGTTTATAACCTTTCTACTCGACGTTAATCAGAGGCCACATATGCACTAATTCACATGTGCAAATTAACATATCGTTTGAACACTCCCTTTGTTCCATGAATGCTTTTACATAGGTTTTAATTAGGGCTCTCAGTGCATTTTTCTCACTTTAATTTAAAAAAAAATATTCGGGGGTGCGATTGGGCTACTTGAATTTATTAAATTAAGTGATTTATTTTATTTTCATATTTTGTCTTTGTTTGACTTTTCTTTTCATGAAGGACGTTATACATATGCCAACATAATTTATGTGGACATCACAAAACCAGCCCTACGTGCTAGTCTTATACAGCAAATCGATACTTGAGCCAACAGACGTGTTTGTGATAATCGAGAAACTGGATTTATCACAGCAGTCTCTGATGAAGGCCACACTGAAAAATTGCCTGGGTTAATTTTACCCAAGAAAGGTTGAAAACTGGAACTACCCAAACTTGGGTTGTTCCATAACCAATTGTTTGGGTTAGAATTTCTGCTAAATCCAACCAAAAACGTGTAGTCATACAAGACTAAATTAAATTTGGTTAACAATTGGTTATAGAACATCCCAAGTTTTCCAGTTCCAGTTTTCACCCTTTCTTGGGTAAAATTAACCAGGCAATTTTTCAGTGCATCGATATGTCCTATATTGTAACCAAAAAAGCAATCATCGTTAGTTGATTTTTTCCCATTTGTTTTTAATAAGCTGTCTTGATTTGAATTATATTTAATTTTGTTATGTAGTAATTGAAACACCAGGTCATCAGTCAGATCAAGGGAAACTTTGCGGATTTAATTTTAAACATCTCTTTGAAAATCGTATTTAAAAAAAAAAGATCAGCCCACAAATGAATATATCCTTAATGTAAATGTAGAGTGCTAGATATATTGGTTAAAATGCCTTATATGATTGAAAGACAAAGTTGATAACAGTTTATTGGACACCTACAGACTCAAAGCCATGGGGGGGGGGGGGTTACACCCATGTTACCCCTAGACGCATCAACCTTTTTGCAAATAAAGCACCCAATTTCAATATCAATCAATTTTGAACATTTTGAATTGTAACAGAATGCAAGTTATCAACATAAGTTTTTAGAGCATGCTGTCTTGATTTGAGTTATATTTAATTATGTACACTGTAAAAACAGTGTTTAGCATTTAAACACATCAGAAACGTGTTTATAGTTTAATACGTTTAGGAATGTGTTTCAATTCTAAACGTTTACCACTTTTTAATGTTGTGAAACTAAACGTGTTTACGTTTTGGACATGTGCTTAGGATTGTATATCTAAATGCGCTTAGGAAGCTGTTTAAATGCTAAACATATTATTCATTGCACATGTCAAACGGATAATGCGTGTCACAGAAAAAGGACATCTAAACATGTCATGGTGCTAAACGTGTGGAAAAAGTGGGTACAGAATTAGTGTTTAGAAATGTGTTTAAATCCTAAACACCATTTTTACAGTGTAGTAATTAAAAACCAAGTCGTCATATACATATATATATATATTTTTAATATGTTGTCTGGACTCGAGTTACATGTATATTTAATTCGGAAATAATTGAACACCAAGTCATCAAGATATATATATATATATATATTTTTAACTTGTTGTCTGGACTCGAGTTATATTTAATTCCATCAACGTATTATTGTCAGCTAATCAAGGAAAACTTTGCAGATTTAATTTCAGTCATCTCTTTGAAAATCATATTTTAAAATAATGTAGCGTGATCAACAAGTGTGGATCTAGAACACAATTTTGTTTGGGGGGGGGGGGCAACATTTGTTTAGGTCCCCCAAAAAGTGGGTCCCAAAAATTACGGCGTGGGGTTCGGGACCCGCTTAACCCATAACTCCCTAGCAGGGGGTGTGCAAAATCATTTTAAAATTGGAGGATTCAGGACTGTTAGGGATGGGCCTCGAAAACTTGTTGGATTCTAGATGCTCTGTGGTGTGATCTGAGGCGATTTCTGACCAAATCTTTTTGAGGAAAAGATGGTGGGGCCTGCCTTTATTGCGACGTCACTTAAAAAAAAAAACTTGGGTTCGTGGGGGGGGGGGGATGGCCCCCGTTGGGCCCCCCCCCCGGATCCGCTCTTGGTGGTTAAGGCCAAAAAAAAAAAGTCTCCGGTTTCTGGTATGCGCGCGCGTCGCCGCAGCCATGAGCGTCGGCAAAATGAAAAAGTTTTTTTTTCAATACAAGATTATGTCTCAAAACCGCCAAACTCACTGGTTTGACTGGAATTCTGCTGCTGCACAATTTTAACGTGTTTTTAGATGGGGTTATGATCGAGAATAAGCTTTATGTGGCCTCTCTGACTCCCATATATTTGCACTAAGTTTAGTCGGGCACCATTTGCAGTCATATCAGCCGACATTTGAAGCCAAAAAAAAAAAAACCCAGGTAAAAAAAAAAAAAAAAGCCGCGTCGCCGCACCACTTTTGGGGCAAGCTCCATACCAGAAACCGGAGACTTTTTTTTTTTGGCCTAACTCCCCTTTAAATGCTTTAAAGTTTTGCTTTAACCCTATCAGGACCGGACTTTTTTTGGACCTACGGGGACCGGGGGGGGGGGCACATAGTGGCCCCCCCCCCTCTATATTTTCAAAAGTAAATGACCGATTTTTTTAAAAACTTGGTAGAAATTAACCTATGACCAAATCCTACAGGTTGCCATTTTAAAAAAAATTGTCCATAGAGGGCGTTTTTCTTGACATTTTGCCCATTTTTGGTCAAAAATAGTTCCCCCCCCGTATTTTCCGTTTTCTTTGGCCAAATGTCATAAAATTTGAGAAACATGTTTGTCATGTGACACTTCTCAATCACCTATCTGATAAATAAATTAATAACAATATGACAGTTAGTTTTATAGTGTAGAATTTAATATTTAAACATTTAGTTTATTAAAATTACGTGAAAAACTAGATAATATTTAGGAAAAGTCACTAAATTTGGTGGCGATCGGCTGCACCGTTAAAAAGTTATGAGCAAAAATATGGGAGGGGGGCACATTGTGCCCCCCCCCCCCCCCCCGGTCCTGATAGGGTTAAAGTTTTAAGTTTAAAAGTGTTCAAATGTGTTCAAAAGTTTGCTGTTTGATGATGATGTTTGTAAAAAAAAATGTTAAAGAAACCAAGCCTCGCTTTAAAGTTATCCCTTATTTAAGCATTCTACAAACACCAACCATTGGGCAATCAAATTGCCCTAAAATTAAGCAAATCTATACAATATAGTACCCAACATATGACTCTTCTTAGTAACCAATAATTGAGAAAATACTAACCGAAAAATGCAGTGCTGTAATTGTTGAAACAAGTATTCTATGACATTTTCTTTATTGCTCCAAACCGTCAGTACACACAATAAAAATTTTAAGTTGTTGGACGAAACAGGTTTAAGGGTCATTGGGTTTAAATATGGTGATATTCTTTGAACGGATTAAGCAATTTCAGTAATTGTTTTCACCTGAAAGTATAGTTTATGAAATTGGCTTTCCAGTCATTATTATTTTTGTTGCTACATATTTGTTTTAAATATGAAATAGATTTTGGGGGTTTGGGTTCCGCTTTTTTTTTTTTTTAACTCATCCTGTATGATGACGTTGAAGAACTCATTTTAAAACAAGGAAATATTTTAGACTCTGTACAAACTACAAAGTATAATTTGTTATATGAAAAAGCATCTGAAACAAGAGTTCGCTTGAGTCGAGTCATTTGCTCGCAGTGACTCGAGTCAAACTAGGCCTAAATTCTTGGATGGCGATTTTGATCGACAGTTCCAGGGCATAGTTAATAAGGGAATAAATGTGTGCTCCGGAGGTTTTTATCACTCGTTTAATACCGCTTAGAGTCTGGGTGCTGATAATTAATAATTTCTCTGTGTTCTCTGTGCCCCAAACTCTCCAGCACACACATTTTTGTGTTTTTATAGATTAAGGACCGTGCAACTGTAGTAAAAAAAAAAAAGTAGCATGGACATTGTTTAGGGGAGGGAAAAACTGATTAAAGATGGATAATTATTGCACCATGTGATGACGTCAACGACTAGGCTCAACATTTAGTCAGAGTCCCGGATTTCCCCCCGATGAGAAAAAGCGCTTTTCAGCACGCGGAACCAGACTGCGTGTACACAAACCAAACCGAACACACAATCCAAAGTGACTCATTTCGTGAAATTTCTCGTTTACGATTAGTAAGCGGTACTATAAATACGAACACCATCTCCCAAAATAAGTTTCTCATCATCGGTGAACCGAATGAACCACATACACTTCATAACTTAAAGTGCTGTATGGGGAACAAATACTGGGTGGATTCCATTGAAATCTGGGTACAAAGGACGAGTGAATTAATTGATTTTCGGCGTCGAGCGTCCGTACACGTACACCCCATGTACGCATGACTGGGGGTACACGTACACATGGTGCGATGTGCGGCAAACTGTTTGATTGGCCGAATTCATTGAATCACGCAAAATCTTCAATCAGGTGATTGGTCAGTACCTCGTTCGAGACACACATGGGTAAGTCAAGGGTCTTTATTTATTTGTAGTAAAAGGGGTATTTGGGGGGTTATGCCGGCCGTAGTCCAAGCCCAGGGGCAGCACTCAGTACAACTACAAGGACGGGTTTTGGAATAAGGCCATAACAAGAAGCTACTGTACTGTAGTGTGAACTTTCATTCATGTTGAAGCATATGAGGTAAGAAATTTACTGCTAATCTTAATCTGAACCTTGGCTTGAGTTCCCAACCTAGGAACAATTCCATGAATGATACATTCCCTGCAGCTAGGGCCTACCTGTCACAGTCATGACAGTGTCACTGTCAGCCATCAGGGAAAGATTTCCATATACGAAGTTCACTCAATACCCTGTGTACAAACCCTATGAGATTGGACTGAAAAATTTTAAGTGTTTTCTAAGAAAATGCTTGTATTTTCTCACTGCTCAAATTGACTATGATGACATGAAATTGCTATCTGGGGACTTGTTAGTCAATATAGTCGTGTTCCCTAACGTGGCGCACTTCGAAGCCTACCCGACTTCCCTCGTGTAGTGTTGCCAAACCTCTTTGTTGACAAACCTCAAATTCATGCAGTAAAACACTAGTACTTTTACCTTATTTATGCTTGCTATTTAACCTCTGTGAACAATTTCAGTTTTATAACATTTAATCGGAAATTCAAAAACGGTGGCATCCGGAAATTGGGCACAAATTGGCGGAGTGTTCCCTAACGTGGCGCACTTGAATAAATCTCGGAAAATTCCAATTTAACATTTAAGAATTTCTGTAAACTTGATAAATTCTGATAAACAATTATTATCTCTACTTACATGCCCAGCCAGATGTTTGTCAGAAAATTATTTTCTTATTCTTCGGGGCATTTTTAAAGGGTTCACTTTGCACTTGAAAATAAAATCGGAAAATCACGCCAAAATCAATTTTTCTTCTAACTTTGTTACGGGTAAATAAACTCGCGATTTATGAAGAGGAGTGTTTAGAACTTGATGAAATTTCACTTTCTTGGAATTTCAGTTAAAACTTTTGCTCTAGGTAGGCGCTACAGGTGAAAAATCAAAGTGCGCCACGTTAGGGGCCGCGCCACGTTAGGGTACATCAACAATACAGAGGAAAATGAGTGAACTTTGTGTATGGAAATCTTTCCTGCTGCCTTTTTAAGATGTCTTCGTTACGTTTGCAGACATTCGCGTATCAACATTTCAACATGAAATTTCACGAAAAATAGACTTAATTGGCCACATATACACTGATATATGGGGCTAATTACAGACAGGGTTTGTGCACACTTGTCAATAGTCCGAGTAACTTGGACCCAACTTATCGCCTTTTTAACATTCAGACATGGTCTGGCGATAGTGGGGTCCAAGCTAATCGCTATATGCTAAGCAACACAATTTTGTCCTTGACCCCAAAACCCAACAATAACATTGCCCAACAAAAACATCAGATTTCACCCTCAAAATGGCCTACAAATTACTAGATACGCCACCTGAGGTACAAGTAGACATCGATGATTGAGATGGTTGTACTGAAGTTTACTTTCGATCCGGATGAAAAGTGAAATTTCCCGTTCAATTCCGAGAGCTCCCCTCGCGATCGGGAACACGTTAAATTTCCGACTCTTGTTAATGTTTGAACGACGCGATGTGGTCCTCATGCCCAGCGTGCATTCAATGGTCCCTCTATCCGAGTGCGATTCCGTTCCCGAGCGCGCCCGATGCATCGATTATGATAATGAGTAGACTGGATTACGTTTGTAAACACAACTGCATTTTGAACGATAATAGGGAGTCGGGAACTAGGGCAGGTTTTATGGACGGAAACCACTTCAGGCTAGTTTCCGACTCTCTTTTATCGGGGACCATCGAATGTACGCTGGGCATGAGGACCACATCGCGTCGTTTAAACATAATAACACGAGTCGGAATTGAACGTGTTCACGATCGCGAGGGAAGCTCTTGGAATTAAACGGGATATCTCCTCTTTTAATCCAGATCGTAAGTAAACTTCAGTTTGTGTATTGGTGCTGTGTTTAATTTTTGTGACACACACAACGTGTATCATATTTTTAATGAAAACGACAGGAAAAACCTAAGATGTAAACAATCAGGGTTTTTTCCCCCGTCTTTTCTCGAGAACGTTTAGACATCAGGTTAGTTTCCTTTCAACTTAACCTTTGAAATAGTAAAGTAAACAATCCAAAACATGAAATTTTCGGGGATTTAGATTTCAATAAAGTTGTTCGTGTGTTACTGGTTAAACAATTATACAGTAAAAGGTACAAATCAAACAATTGAGTTAGGCCCTATAGAACGTAAAAAGACCCAGGGCCATGCATATTCAAATAATTTAGTATTTGATTAATTCATTAATATTCAACCGCAAATACGGCGGCGTTAGCAGAACTTCAAAGGCCTTTCTGGTATTGCAGCTGCTGAAGTATCAGGTTTTCTAGTCGAGCTTTCGACAATTGTGTCTTATCTATCAACGGTAATTGATAATGCAGATATGAAACTGGATGCCTGGAACCACAAAGAATAGAATCAAATATGTGAAAGAAGTTGTTTGTCTTTCTGTTTGAATTAAAGGCTTTTGCGAAGATTCTGAACACTAAGGAAGAATACCGCGGTGTTGAAATATCCATACCGAGTTCACCAGTGTTTCGGTATTCATGAGTCATTAGTCGGTTTTGATCGGTATTAAAGAAAACCCGTAACTATCCGGTAATACCTGACATGCCGTTCACGCCTAGTACTGCATCAATCAACAGTGTCAAAGAAACATCTGGTACCTAGCTCTAATCCTACACATTCTCTACAGTTATGCCACCTGCCACCAGACTACTGAGGGGACAACCTTTTTAAACAGTAGGACATGTACCAGTCTAGTTTTAGGCTTCAAATTAATATCACTTGGCTTCACTCTCGGGTGCAAAATGTTGAAGAAAGGTCTCCGTTAAAAATTGAATTGAGACCTCTAACTTGGCTGGTGAAATAGTGAGGACGTTGTCTTTGACTCATGAAAACTTTGGAGAGTTTTGTCTGCTAAAGAGTGAGTGAAGTTTGGGTAATCCTTACTTTTAGGACACCTCTATTTTTTACAAGTTCTGTTCAAAACTGACTTTTGCAGATGACTGTCCAGTACCAAAGTGACTTTTGCAGGCTAAAGCAGTCTTTTTTCTTCATATAAACTCATATTAGTTGTAATTTTGAAAGCACTTTCAAAGAAAATGTGACTTTCCTACCTTTTTTCGCAGTCAGACGTGCATGTTGTAGTTCTCACACGCATGAAAGCCCTACATGATGAAAGCCCGATGCTGATTGGCTGCTAAAAAAATTAATTAGTCTGGTTCATAGACCAAAAGATTCTGACTACTCCTGAATCTTTTGGTCTGGGAACCAGACTAAAAATAAATAAGTTAGTCTGGTTCTCACACCAAAAGATTCTGACTATTCCTGAATCTTTTGGTCTGGGAACCAGACTAAAAATGAGTAAGATGTTTATTTTTTATCAGCCAATCAGCATCAAGCTTTCATTGCATCGAGCTTTCACGTTTGCCATCTTGGTTTTTGAGTCTGATTTCTGGTTGTCATCGTCATCTTTTACCCCTGAATTTCCCTCATAAATCAAAGCCCTGCCCTCTTTCCACAAAATTAAACCTGCTGATATTCAAGAAGGTGTCATTGCCAATTGTTCAGATGTGCCAAGAAGTATCAGAATGTCAATTTTGAGTGTCATTTAGTCAACTGTTTTGGTGAGTCTTTCCCTTCCTATATAGGAACGGGGTCCTAAAAGTAAGGATTACCGAAGTTTGTTTTGCATGTTTTTTTCTGCTCTCAGAGTCCCAGTCTGGGTCATTTCTAATGAACAGTCAACTGACTGATCATTGGAAATAAAGAGTTCTATTTACGAAATTGTGTTTTGTGATCAAAAAGTTGTGCATGGTTTTTCACTGTATTCTCAATAAGTGTAATATCCACTGAGCTGAAACTTCAACAGGTTGGATTTTGAGTGATGTAATTATTGGAAACAAACAAAATGCATGAATAGTAAATGTTCCTACTCTAATGGAATATTCTAGTATCCGATTTTGAAATGCCATATATATTTCAAGTAAAAGGAGCTACATGTAGTCTAAACTGGCTGCCTATTGGTATTTGCATGCGCATGCATTTGTAAAAAACTGATAAAGAACTTATTAAAAACATATTTAAAAAAAAAACCAGGTGGCGGAATGGTTGGTGTTTGACCAATTATAATTAAAGAAGAAATGTGTGCTAATATTCCCCAAATCATGTGTGAAAGTGGCTTTCAACAAAGAGTGACATTTTTCCATCTCCTCAAGACCACCCACATTTTTGGAATAAAAAAAACAAAAAACAAAAACGCTTTTGAATATTTTAGTATTTGTTCGGCATAATTGCTGATTCAGAATAGTCAATGTTAAAGAATTTCGATATTTTTTCAAAATTGTTTGATACACCAACCCACCCCAAATTTTTATTTTTAAATGTTGAATGACTATCAATATACACGTATCCCATACACTGAACAAAGTTATGCTTCAAATGAGGCAGATATTTTAGGTCAATGCTCAGCTCAGGAGCTTTCAATGGCTTTTCCAGGCTTCCAGCGTGAAACTGTGTAGTTGAAACAGACGGAAATAGCCAAGCACACAAAACTATGTACGGTACAGTGTTTCAGTTTTCTGCGACACTATATTTAAAAAATAAACATGGGTTATTTTGGCTTCGTTACGATTAGGCCCCCCCCAAAAATAGTTCGGCTTCCGGTTACATGGCATTTGAAAATAGGGTAGGTAGGTAGGGAATTTTGTGTGTGTACGATCATATTGAGGCGTCTGCGTGTAGTCAAGGGTAAAAGGTAGAAATTGATGGTTTTGGGTGTTTTTTTGGATCATTTTTTCCATAAAAAAATTAGGGTAGCTGGGCTGTCAGAATAGGGTAGGTAGGGAAACCAGAAGCAGAATTATTTTTTTTG